AATTGAAATTGTTAAAACATAGAAAATTGAGGCAAAATTGTTGAAGAAAGGATAAAAAATTGAGGATAAATATTTCCTTTGAAATGTTCACTTTGTCTCTTCTGATTGGTACGATTATGTCAATGTGTCAAAGTTAGCAGACATATCTCCAGGGACAATCCTTTGTAACATGTCCTCCAAATATTTACGTTATTTGTAAATCTATACTACATACTACATCAGTGTTTACCAATTATTTCATATTCAGGATCAAACAGCAGCGTTACATATTTCATATATGTTACATGCTCCCTGTGTTCTTGTTGAGTCCTCGTGCCTGGGAGCATAATGTTATTACAGACCATATTCTGTATCAATGTGCACCAGATACACAAAACTACAAATCATGATCTCACATTTAACTTTCATCTACCCTTGCATAAGTATTACTGTATGTATTAAGGAGATATCTAAAGTAGATGAACCAAAGGAAACTTTTTTATTGTGACTGATGATTGAAGACTATGTTCATGTGTAAATGTATGTTGATTTCTCTCGTTGATCATGTACATGAAAAAATGGATTGAGGTCATCTTAACATTGAATAAATTAGTGTAAATCAGTGACTTCAAATGTTTTTGTTGGTGATAAATTATTCTGTTTAGACTGGCATTTACAGAGTATCATAGTACTGGGTATAAGTTGTAGTAGTTTCGCTATTATGTTAAGCCTGTTTCATTCATGGTATAGTAAGACTATTCGGTTATTGGCCACCCACCCTTGTATGTGAGATAACAGCATTAGAGGAGCCTCCCTTGTTAATTGCATGTTATTGTGAGATTGATAACCATACAGAAAACACAGTCGGTCCTCTGGCAAAACACAACTTGATGATAGGGGAAGATAATATGATGGAGCCTCCCATGCATTATTTGTCTTGTAGTCTAGCCTTGTATCAAGTTGTGGTTTTATCCCCCTAACCACTCTGCCCACCTGTGTTCTCATAGTTACATTGGGAGTAGAATGGCTGATATAGCCTCAATGCATAGTATGGAAAAAATATTTAAAGACCACGTTGGTCATCTTAGGTATGAAATGAAAAATTATGAAAATGACACTGAAAAGCATATCTTGGAAAAACCAATCAGAAAAAGGATGAATGGTTAAATGGGATTGAGATATCTATCCAAAGGCTAATATTTATACCATCTGATAGACATCAACAACTATAAAATTACAGAGAGGGAAAACATAGGCCAAAGAAGTCAGAGTTAGAAAAAAGAATAACTTTGATCTATTCATTCAACTAGATCTGATTTCACTTGCAAATATGGATATTAAACTAGTGGTGAAAACTGATCTTGTGTGAAATATTGCCAGCTTTTACTCAGGGTATCACCCCAGACATTGATGAGTGTTCAAAGTGTATGTAACCCTTTGCGAGACCTAAAATTTCTCTGTTCTCTTTGGATTAGGGATGATTTTAAATATATCTTATCAGTTTATATTGTTAGAAAAATCATAATGCTGCTTGTTCTGCCTTTACAAAGTTAACAATCAATCCAGATTTCTTCAAACTCCTATAAAGTGCCATGTAAGATTCATTTGAGATTGTTAGGATATTATCAGTATCAAAACTACCACAGCTGTAATAATCAGAGGTTAACATAGCTAGCAAGTGTGAATTCAGGATAAAAGTGTATCTGCCTCAAGTATCTAACTACAAGGGAATATACCAAGTGGGAGCATGGGGTTAAAATAACTTCAGATATGATATTTTCAGGATGAATATGATCCTTATGCGCTACCCATAACCACTAATTGAAGAAACCAATGTTGTTTCAGAAGAATTACCCTCATATGTGTTAGGGACCATGTTACACCACAGCCTTGCAGAATATAAGATTTAACATGAAACATATGAGAAAAGTTAAAGTCTTCTGTCCCACCCATACCTTTCACATATTTTCATAACAGGGAAGTAGGTAGTACTGAGCGATTTTAAGGGGTTACTATGTAACATTTATTTGTTTGCTATCAATGTAAAACATTTTACTGGAAATAGAAAAAGAAAGGTATTTGTTACATTTCTTTTGAAACTCTTTTTGGATATAGCTATATAGAGATTATCCTATATGAGGTTCAGGATATTGGGATTATCCCGAGGCAAATATAATATATTTGCCCGAGGGCCGCAGGTCCCGAGGGAAAATATATTATATTGGCCAAGGGGTAATCCCAATATCCTGAACCGACTATAGGATAATATGTTTATCCCATACCAATCTTGGTCATCTGGTTCACATTGTTCAATCGTGGAAATATTCTAGAATATTCATGTCCAGTTTTGTTTTCTTGGCCGTGGGCGGATTTTTTTGTTCTCTCAAATATTCCCACATTTATTTTCTCGAATTTTTTAAGTGAATGCTCCTTCCATTTTTTAAACCATCAAACAGATCGCCGTTGATTACGCGAACGTTACAAATTATGAACAAATATGCGAGCGGCGATTATGACGTAGCGGGCAGATATACTATATCTGCCCGCTCGGAGCGGGACGTAAAGCTATATCTGCCCGCTGATGAAAATGTAAGTTTTTACAAACCGGCTTTATGTACCTGTAACACGTCCAAGTATGGGATAAATATATATATTCAAATGCATAAAAAGCATTTGGAAATATGATGTAAGATTATATTTTGAGGTTCTCATTCAGAAAATGGTTCTTTAAATCTGGAAACATTGATCAGTAATAGATATAGGCTGGAATAATAAGCAAGCTGAATTATAGGGTAATGATTATAAGATGGGATATGAAGGACCAGCTGGATGATACCTCACATGATACGAAACCACATTGCCTCATTTACAGGAGGCAGTAGTAAGGAAACTGAGGTTTCTGACACAATTTCAGCAGCAGTTTTCCTTTCAGCTGTTACCTCAAGCTTTTCATAGCTCAGGATGTTTTTACAGCCTAGGATATGAAAATATAAATATATCCTCTGAGGTGCTTGTTCAAAGTTGTCTGTCCTTAACATACTGGAAAATGTCCTTTGAACCCCAATTCTGTAACCCATGATACCATATGGTCAGTTATACAGGGGTATAGTGGGCTATTTAGTTCCCTTTCTAGTTACTGATCTGAAAGATGCGATGAGTATACCAGAATGCAAGAAGCAAGGAATTCCTAAAACTTTTTTCACAATCAATTACTCGAAAAATGTACAACTAAATAGAATTGTCTAGAAAATTTTCACTGGAGCCAGAGAAGAAGTTAGATTCAATCTTCAGATGCCAGTTCCTTTTACATAGATGTTTTAGATTTTAAGATAAGTCAGTTCCATTTCAGTTTTCAAGATAGGAGATTGGTGTCACAGAATTAATGCCACTTTCCACTTCTATCAATGTCTTTATGTCACATTTTGATCTTCGATTTCAGATAAGGGAAACTGTTTCAAAACAAATGTCTAATTATCTTAATGTCAGATTAGCAAAGTTCATCAATACAGGGCCGTCACTCTATGCTTTTAGACTGTGGAGTATCACCATCATTCAGTCAGCACCAGTCACAAATCTTTCATGTATTGATTAGCCATGATATTTGCCAAAGTCAGTGAAATGAATGATATTTTGTGAAGTGTTGGTGTTTGGTGGTCGGTGTCTTGTAACAAATGGCAGGTGGTGCATTTTGCATGTTAATGCCTTATTTTGACCCTGCAATCTCTATTGCTTATGTTTGTGTTATCTTATCAATTGGTGTTTGAGTGGATATTGCTTCATTGATCGGAAATTACCAATACTAGTAGAGTAGAGAAAATGTCTATTTAACTCTGTTCAATGTTAGGCAACAATGATTACTGTTGCATGGTTGTATTTGTCTTTCAGCAGTCTCTCTTAAAATAAATCATTGGTGCCCTTCCAAAGTTGAACATTCATTACATCTACAGGCTATAACAGAGCCCCAAGTAAACATAAGTAATTAGGAAAAAGGCCCATGTTATTTTGAGCCATTTCTTGTGTCTATGTCTTGGACTGTATAGAGATCATCCTAAACTTTGCAACTAACAATAGATAACTTTATTTACATATACCGGAAACATCATTTTGGTGATTTATGATTTATTTTGGTTATTGCCTTATCTTCTCCAGGGATTCTGAACTGATTGATATTCCAGTTGTTGTTATAGTAACCCAGGGTGTGTTTAATTAGAAACTGAACCGTAAAGTCAGCCTCCCATTGTTTATTGTGACTACAAGTGTTCAACTAACTATTGTTTTTATGTAATCATATACAGTAACTGTTATTCTTTCGCAGTCACTTTGTTTGGTGTATCCTGGGTAGATTTGTGTTTCGGAAGGTTGAACTGATTTTTCAGAGAAATAGGATAGTGTTTTAGAAATCGTATACATACAACACATAAGTGGTGGGATAGGATTCTAGGCGGCCATTTGATGGAATCTGGTAAAACAAGGAACTAGCTTGGTGGTTGACCTGTTGTTTTTTCCATCTGTTTCTCTACTAACATGTTAAGTTTTGTTGAACATATATGATATCTGATAAATTCAAAATATTGGAATAGTACTTATAAATATACATGGGAACAAACGGTTATGGAAATATCATAAAGAATCATGAAGAACTAACAAGTTCTTATATTGATCTATTGGATGTGAGTCGTCCCTAGTAGTATAGATTATTTGTAAAAGATGATACATGATATTTATCATACATTGCTATAGATTTCTTGATATATGACACATCTAAGAATCAATGTTACCCCCTCACAGTTCAATAATTTTCTTTCTTGCAGAAATCCCTTTTTAAAGTAACTGGAAGGTCAACATGACTGCAGATTGCAGTTTTTGTATTGTCTTGTATTTGATCATCTACCACATAAAATCTTTCCAACCACGTAGAAATGGTGTTGGTGCAAAACTTTTTTTGGATTTATTGAACTTGTTTACTCTCCCGTAGTCCGTCAGATTATGTATTCTCAATGGTTGTATTTATGTATTTTCAGTCTGAGCTATCACAGATCCTCCAGTCCTTATCTGAGAGGGCCCGGACTGGCACAGAATTCATACAGGATCTCAAGCGAAGCGTGGACCAAATACAGGTTGGTACTGACATCTTTCAATATATAATAAAACTTTTTAGCATAACAAGCAAACCACAGAGTGAATTTTGAAAATATGAAACAATCCAAATTCATGGTATAAGCTGAATGTTTGAGTTCTAAAATACAAGTGTCTAGTCTGTGTTTTATTCCTTGAGTAAAGGTTCCCTTTTGATTGAATGTGGAATAAGGCTTCTCATTCATACACTATACTTTATTGAAGACGGGTAAATGATAGACTATATTTTCATGAAAAGACCATATGATCCAGATGATGTATTTACTATAAGTGCACATCAAAGGCATATTTGTTCAGAAAAAAGTATCCAATATTCCACTCAATAAGTTCTTGGAGCATTGACAATTTAATAAGTTTTGTTCCAATAACACTTAACCCATTTGTTCACTACAAGGGGCCTTGTTTAATTCACCTACTACCAATCAATGTGATAGTCTTTAACGGTGCATTCAGTTGAGGCCAATCAATGACGATGTTTGCATTCTGTGGCGTTAAAAAGAGATAAAAGTGTCCTCATTGTATTTTAGTATATTTAGTTCAACCATTGAGTATGGTTAGAGATGTATATATTTCAGCTCTTGGAAGCTGTTCAATGGAGAGGGGTGATAATTGTTACGTCTTGAAGTGTCATTAGTTAATAGTTAATTTCATATTATTGGCTTTGCAACTGTTCACGATGAAATTTTTCTCAAATATTGAATATCTGTCTTTTTTCCATTCTTCCTCATTAAAAATTCATGGATATTCTGTATAATCTTTTCTAACAGAACCTAACATTTACGCAAAATTTAGAGTGCTAAATGGCACAGTTTTTGTCACAAGCTGTAAATTCGAGAAAACTATATATGTGAAATAAATTAAAAATTCAGTAAAATATACAATTTGTAACAGGTGTATTTTTTACTTTAATTAAATAATTTAAGGCCACATGTTTAAAATAATGAAGTATTAACCTAGGAATCATTGTACTGATCATGTGACACAGACAAACTAAAAATTATGATGTGTTTTATTGTACAAGTAAAAGTCTCAACAGATGCATTCACTTCCCAATATCAAGTCTTTAGATCACTTCTAATAGATCTCATCTTGAATTTATTTTGATAATAATAAAATAAAATAAAAGTTATAATAAAATAATTTCCTGTTTGCTGCAGGAAATAACTTTTCAGTTATACACTTGGAAAAACACTGCATCAATTTTTTCAACAGCTCCTTCCCCATATCATCACCTACTCCAGGGTGTTTATCTTAAATAATATTTTGTTTATGATGGTGGCATCACATCCATGTATCCCAAAAGAGAAAAAAGTAAAAGCAAAGCAGTTTTCCATTGCATTTGATGAGAAACTACTCTTTAATACAAATGTTAAACAAATAAATATTCTATTGTACATGTGATTTCTAGGAGAACTGCATAGAGTTTGAAGCCAGTGTTGTTGCACAGTGTGATGACCTTATAGAGGCTGTTAAACATAGGAAACAAGAACTACTTGACCATATAGGTGAGCACACTTTCAATAAAGACTGCATTGTACAGTATGTACAGTTTGTTGGATCTTGGCTCCAAACTATTATTCCAAATTCTCAGCTCTTTTACTATTAGTGCTCTAATATAATGACTGCTTGTCGAATCCATGCTCGTGATTTTGCAGTGTACAATCTTCAGTTTTATTTCAGTTTATAAAATTACAGATATTACAGATTCTTCTAGATATTAAAACTGAATGTATATTAAACTGTATTATATTGAAATCTTATGTTTTAAATTGTAGAATGTGAAAAAGATGAGAAGCAAAGAACACTGAGAGAGCAGGTGTCAACTTGTACAGGTCTACTGCAGAAGACTACTGCTCTGCTTCAGTTTAGTATAGAAGTTCTCAAGGAGAGTGATCCAGCGGCATTTCTACAGGTGAGTCAAGAAATTGGGCTGGTCCAACTTCTCCACCCCTCTTAATATCTATATCCCTGCTAACCTGCATTAGAGAGAGAATGGAAGAGGAAGCAACGCAGGGGCTTAATGCAAGACTTCTCCAGTTTTGATATGTGGGAGAAATTGCCAAAGAAATTTTTATTTATTCAAAATTTAGTAAAACTCGTGGGATATACATTATTTATAGAGTCACAGCGTATTTTACAAAATGAAACAGGTAAGGTATAGTGCTGCATACAAACTGGGAAGACTGCTCAGATGTGAGCCTTTGTACAAGGCAGCTCATTTACAAACTTGACAAAGTCAAAATGTTTTTTCTGGCTTGTATAAGGGACTGCCTGTAACATCTGGCAAGAAGCATGGCTGGGAGGACTGGAATATAGTAAATTGAATAACATTGTTCTACAACCAATTCACTATCTTGAATAGTAATTTCTATTTTCACCAGCTCATCTGGAAGTACTTGGCTAACTATCAGCAACTGAATATAGCACTTTGTTGTGAAGAGGGGCCTACTTGAGTACACCATTGCATCATCAAATATAACCAACCAAACCCCTTCACTGGAGTACAACAACCGCAAAATACTTTTACACTTTTACAAAACAAACACGAAGTTAGTAGTTCTTTGGGCGGACCTCATCTGTTATTTATTAAATTGCATGTCAACATGTACTAAGTCAATCTAATACAATAAAAAATTACAAATCATTACAAGTTTGATTTCAAATGTGATTTAAGGTGGTCTGCGTACGATTGTATATGAATTCAATCCATTCAATATAGGCAACCTATGTAAAAATTAATTTAGTGTTCTACAAGGCCTTCCTTAATATATGGGACTATAAAATAGTTTAATTTAGTTTCACATTTATCCTCTTTTATGAATGAATTTTCATACTTTGTACTCTTGACAATGATCACTTTAATATGAAGTATTGGAATGTGTTTACCCAGTACTATACTATTCTGTTAGATCTAGATTTATCTTTGAAGTAATCTAATTTAGCTATGAGTAATGCCATTAAAAGATGTGATGGAGTATTTTCTTAGACACTGATTATAAATTAACAGATTGCTGGAGAATTCTGGGATTAACATTCTCATCAATTACGGCCATTTCATTGGTCAGTTTTATCGATTTCATTCTACAACAATACCTTGTGTTCTATCAAGTACTCCTTTAGGTCCATTTCAGAATTTTGACATTTTATGAATTATAATAAGACATTTTGAATTAAATGTCAAACTTTACTCACTTTTATTATGTTATTAGATTTTGCTTGATTTTGCTCATTCAGTAATGGATAAGAATTCCCAGTAGGTGGATTATGTTTTGAATTGAATAACTCATTAATAGATATGTTACATTATTAATAACCATTGTTTACATTGCTATAGATATCATAAAAAATTGTTCACATTGCGATGGACACATCACTACACTTCAGTAGGTTCTCTCCTCAAACTGACCCCAAATCTAATATAATTTCAGGGAAATCATTCACACTATTTTAATTCCATTAATCGCACTAATTGATGGATAGTATATGGTCATAGAGTATAATACAATTACACTCTTGAGTCATAAAATGTAACTAATGCCTGACATTTATAGTGTTCTACTTTCTAATGTTAGAACAAGTGATGAAGTGTATCACTGTACGAGTGATGCATTTGGGAATAATAACATTTTAGAAGAATTTTATTGAGTGTCATTATTAAGTTATGTTTTTGTGTCAGTGAAGTATAGCTTCGAGAGTCGTTGAGTTTGGAGTCTTTGTCCTGAATGAATTGAACAAAAAATTATTATTTTCAGTAATTGTCTTGTAGATCAGTTAGTTGTGATTTGTACTGTGGCTTCAATATGAATTATTGATGTACGATTAGCGGTGTCACTCAATAATAGAGTCTAAATACTTATGGAGCCTAAATATGGATTTCCGCATCTTGTTGCACTGTTTAGATGTTTCATTGAGCTAATAATGAATGAACAGATTACAATAACTTCTACATATAATTTCTATATTCACGAGTTAAATCATTTAGATAGAGTTGAAATAGGCGTAATTGCTTAATACATATTGAAACTGTCAACGTTGAAATTAATGGTACATGTCAGAAATTACAAAAACATGGATATAAACAAGAATTCATAATTATAACATCAAATTATATATGGAGATTATTTAAATGAAACTGACATGCAATTTCCATGTAAAACATTAAAATATGCACAATAATTTCAATCAAACTGCACTATAAAAAGCTGTGCCATCATACTGTAGGAGCTAATCACGTGGGTTACATGAACTGATATAAGATTTGCCTATAGTTAGTCAGATCTGATATTACTGGCGCCACTTCCATCATACAATGTAACAAGCTGGTTGAATTTGATAAAACTTAGGTAGTAACAGTTAGGAAAGGTTATAGAACCATAATCAACTCCATTTCAGAATAATGAATTTCCTGGATAATTAATTATGAAGTACAATGTTAATTATTACCCACTGTTTCTCTTATGCATACATTAATTAAGGGACCATATCAATTGAAATATCAAATTAGATATAAACGTCATAAACTTGATGGACTACAAAGAAACCAATGAATTTTTCTAACTTCCTCATTATTTTAACTGTGCATAACTTTTGAAATAACCTAATAAAGTTAGGAACAATGTATAAAACATTTGATTCTAAAAAATGATATTTTGATTTCTGGCATGACCCCTAAGTATAGGCTAGCTGCCAGTGTTTGGATGATGTATTAATTACTTCTCCTAATCTCTTGTTATTCACAAATCATCTCTGATATTTTCAATCACCCTGGGCTGCAAGCCAAACTTTTCAAAATCATCAGAATCCTCATAAAATTATGACTAATGAAAATAAATACAAATAAAATATTAATTTTTTCTGCACATGTATACAACTGAAAATATTGTAAAATTACCTTATTGACCATATATTGGGTTACATTGACATCAATATGTATACAATGACATCAATATATGATTGCAATCAGCCTAGGATATACTGTATACAATGTCAGGGAAATGTACATAGAGATTAAACCCAATGAATAATGTAATAATAGTGGTTTAACATCTCTATTATCCTTTGTACCCATTGTTATAACATCAGACTTATCAATCAACAATAATCAATCAATTTAGCATGTTAAGAGAGGCTGGAATGTTTTGATACAATCATGCTACCATTCTTGAATTGGTGTTCATGAATTACCACAAATATTTTTATTGAAAATATTTTTTGTATTTGTGTTTTTTGTTAACAAGGCATTCAATCGATATTGAGTTTTCTTGCACAGAAACAATTATCAATTTCTGCTGTTATTCTTTTGCATGAAATCCAGTGCAGTAGTTGAATTGTGAATTGTTGATGTGCTTGTTTTTAAGAAAATCTGAGTTGATTTGATTGACAATTAAACCCCTAATTTTAATATCAAATGATATGTTGATATCTTAAAATGAAGGAAATAGTGATTTTTTTATTGGTTTAGAAATTGATTACATTCCCTACAATTACTGTAGAACATCTCAGGGGAAACATTACATTATGGCACCTGTGGTATCTCCCTTCCCCACTCCCTGAATTGAGCCAAATAATATTTAATCTGGTTTAATACAGGTTTAGTTAGATCCAACCTTGAAATCCCTTGGCTTCATTAAAGATCATTGATTTTTGAAAATCCTTTGTTTATGAGAATTATTTGATTTTGGTCCCACCTGTAAATATGAAATACTTTAATTTTTGTGTATTTATTGACTCAGATATGTCAACAAGACAAATCAGCTCAACTAAAAAGTGTACACATTTTGAAATGTTCATTTAGAAAAAGAATGGGAGGAGGATTGATCACTAGGTGTCCACTGTCCACTGATAAAGTATGCCTGGAAACATATCATTCCTGTCAACTGTTAAAGGAAATCTGTTTATCAGAGACACAGAGAGACAGATTTCATAAATTGCCTTTTTTTTAAACTTTGTCTAGCATTGACATGTTAACCTTGTGAATACATGTTAGTTTAGTGTATATGGTGTGGTGTCATGCCAGATTTTGGTTATTTGACACTAGTTTGAGGCAATGTTTCTCAGGACAGCTGGTCTTTCTTAAGAAATCTCAAGTCTTTTGTTGGCATCCCATCTTTGTTCTGGGGTAATCCTTACATGTTTGGCTTAAACCTTAGGGCCTAGGACTCAATGGTTTTGGTCATTTGAAAAAGTTACATGGACATATGGCCAATTGAAGCCCACAATATTGACACTGTTGAATAAATCATTAAGATTTTTCATTTTCTAGTTGAATAGAGTTTTACAATTTGAAATAATGAAAAGCGAATGTGACACAATATTTGTAAATGTTCATATAAACATCTGTTCAATTTGGTGTTAACACAAGGTATGGTACATGTATCTTGTTAAGTATTACTTGTATGAATTCATGGAGCAAGTTTAGTGTTAAAACAAATAAACATGAATATAAAATCACTCCAAATTTGGTTTTGTAATTTTGTAAAATTTTCTTAAAAATGTAAAATTTTGATGCAATATTTTGACATGTATAGAAACTGCGAATACAAACAATGTAAAGAGAAACTTATTACATAACGATGTTATGTTGCGTGTTTAAATAAAATAAGATTACAATAACGATGGTTTTGATTGTAGGTGTCAAGTGGATTGATCCACAGGGTGTCATCTAGTGATGTCACATTCAACAAAGAGATGGGTCTTCAACCAGTGGTGTCACCTGACTTTGAATTGACGCTGGACAATGCATCTGTCCTCCATGCCATACAGAATCTCAACTATTTTCAATTGAAAGGTGTGTATAGTTAATATCGAGTTAAATGTTGGGTAGAATATGTGAGAATTTATCAGAAGGGAAAATTGGACAATGTGGTAGTTGGTATACTGCATGAGGCTCCTTCACAGGAGGTATCTTCCCAGAATGCATGAGGACCCATAATTATACTATGATTGGTTGATATTGTAGTCTATGTAGACCCAAGCAGTATTAAATTTACTGGATCTGGAAAGATATTTTGTCCATCTTTACCAACCCCTTCCTTGGTATATTCTCAAATATTTAACCCTGGAAATATATTCTGGAATTAAGTTTTTGAATATTGTTGATTAACAAACACTTTATTGTCTAGAACACAGTTGTATTATTATAGTCAGTTAGCTTGTAGGACAGAACTAGACCAGGGATAAAGCGAGGCATTGAAGATTTGGGGATTCCTATCTTTACAGCTTAGACCCAAGCTTCTTAAAACATTTTAAGGCCAACGCTTTTGTGAAAATTGAAAATTTTGATTCAGCTTGTAATACTTGTTAATGCTATATTTATTCATTACTACAAGTGATAACTGATGGTGGAAATTATCTCAAAATGTGTTTTACTGGTCTTGTCTTATAAGAGCATGTAAAAAAGGAATGCCGTAATTTTGTAAACAATGTTATGAATATTGGTACACTCTTTTAACTGTTGGTCCCTTTTTCATCATGACCAGATTTAACCGATCGTGAGTATACGTCTATTGTCACATTTTGCCATTAATTCACTGATATTTTTCATTTAATATTTTTATCATCATTATGTTTATTTTTTGTATTCTATGTGATTATTTGATACCAAGCGTGTTGTGTATGAATCGGTTATATGTGAATGGTCAATTTCATTTTCTACCCCCCCCCCCCCCTCATTTGTTATACTTTTAGTTCCATTTTTCATGTTTTGTAGCGTCTTGTAATTCCAATAATTTTGCATTACATGTAGTAAGTTGTGATTGACACCCAGTTATATTCACATACACCATTTAGACGTCATAGATGTAACCCCCTCATTTACTAACAACTTTTCATGTAGATGATTGTGAAATATTTTAGTAAAAATATTATTAGAATTTTTTAGAAATTGGAGCTATACATAGAGCTTTGCTTGGATATAATCTCCCAATTTTTCAATAGAAAAGTGAATTTTAAATTGCATCCTAGTGCAAACCCCATGTTATGTTAACACAATGTTTTTGCCAAATTTAAAAAATATAATTTATATTAATCTGAATTATTGATTACCTCACAACAAAAAGCTCTGAAATCGAGCGAGAAATTCAAGGGGTGTCGAACCCGGATATTTTGAAATCTGAATCCATCTAGGCTACTTGTTGTGTATAATCATATGTGAAAACTTGGCAGATAAGATGAAGTTTCACAATGCAGTTATTGCAGTAGAGTTCAGATGCACTGAAATTCACACACTGTTTCTACCTAATACAACAATCTTACATATATTGAATTGATTTTTTTGCTTGAAGCTTCAAAAGTCCCTGATTATTTATTCTGCTTATTGTGCTCAATATCTACATTATGATTATATGAAGTTCATTCTTGTTCACTGTTTCCTTGTTTGAGATGTGAATATATTCTGACTTTGTTTTTGGTGGGTAATTTTATTCAAGGTAGTTTTGCACTATGAGTCAACCTACATAGTACTTTGCCAAATTTGCTATATAAATAATAAACAGTTTGTACTCCAGTGTGATATGAAATTATTCAGACTTTCTCCTGTTGATAAAGTTGTAGGGCCTCAGTTGGAAAAATAACTTGGAATTTAAATTTGGACACCAATGCCCCAAGATCAATAAGTGCATTTATTCCATAAGTGATGGATTGATAGTTAAAGTTTGATATACAGCAATAGAAATACTTCAATTATACGTCAAGCACTGAATTATTATGTTAAAGAGTAAAGAAATTAATTTGGATGAATATTTACTTAAAGTATAAAATCCCATCAGTAAATGATCAAAATGTATTGAGAATTTGAATCTTTGAAATTACGAATACATGTACATGTTTATCATTGAATGAAGCCCTTTACTTTTGCTTAACCAGTTGCATTGTAGTTTTATATTCCCAAATCATCCCTGTAGCCAGTTGTTTAGTTTCAATATGTTCCTCTGTATGTATGTTCCCCAGTTGTGTCTCTGTATGTGTGCAATGGTGACAAGTTATCTTTGCTTGTTTGTAAATATTTAAAGAAACTTAGGATTATAACAATAAAATGACAGTCAGAATTTATATAATCACTCAGTCTTTAGATAACCTATTTGTTAACTGATAACATTTACAAAAACAACAAAAGTAAAAAAAATCAATAGCGATAAATAAGGAAAAAATGTTTGATTCAAGTGACACAATGGCAGGCACATACTCAAAGCATAATTTCCAACAATTCATACTTTCATATGCAGTGTTTCTAATTTATATGCAGTGTATGTAATGTATATTTTCTATGGTTTCAGCTCCTGGGACCCCTAACATAGTACCAGAGGAATGTAGCGCTGAGAACAATAGTGTCACCATTGCTTGGCAACCGTATCCAGGAAGTGTTGTTGATATGTACACCCTGGAGATGGATGATGGTAACCAGGGACAATTTAGAGTAAGTTATATAATAGGGTATCTGAAATTCAAGAATGGCTAACTGACTGACTCGCATTACATCAATTTTCGAAGGTGTAGATAGCATTCAGAAAGCAGCTTTGTGTGCCATTCAGTATGTTGATCAGGAAGGCATTACTGTATCTCAATCAGCCTTGATAAACAATGTTGCATGAATCAAGAAAATGTTCACCTGCGCTCATATCAGTCAATATTCACTTTTTAAATCATATTGAATCAAGTGAGTGTTGATGCTTTAAGGTTATCAAAACAGAACAATGCACATTTGTGTAATGCTGAGTAAGAGAGAGATGGCTACTTTTATTTTGTGGTTCTTGTATTTAATTCTTCTTTATTTACATATATTCACATATTTACAGGAGGTATACTGTGGTAGGGAGACTATATGTACAGTAGATGGTCTCCACTTCCGCAGCATCTACAATGCCAGGGTAAAGGCACACAATCAGCTGGGGAACAGCCCTTACAGTGAATCTATAGCCCTACAGACTGCTGACAGTAAGTCATTATCTATGTGGAATATTGAGATATTATTGTGATATTCTAAATAGAATGGAAAATGGTGAATGTAGGGTTCTGTGTTCGCACTTACCAAATCAAACAATGGAAGAAATTTCAGAAATGATCTGTTTATTTTAATTTTAAATGTTGTGCCCTAGTTTTGGATGATTGGGCATTGAGATTAAAGTGGTTGTATGTTCTTTTTCTCATAATGTTGCAATATGTGATGATTGCATAGTATAAATAATGACCATAGCATTGAAGCATAAACAATATATAAGCATGACCTCTACCTTCCAGTGGCTTGGTTTTCGTACGACTCCACTAATTGTCACCCTGATATCGAGTTCTCCAATGAAAATATGACGGTGACGTGTAGCGACAGAGAAGAGAGAACTGTCTTGTCTACAGTAGGGTTCTCTAAAGGTGTTCACTATTGGGAGATGAAGATAGATCGCTATGACAACCAATCTGACCCTGCATTTGGCGTTGCTAGGTTTGATACAACAAAGGATGCAATGCTCGGTAAGGCTGGGTTTTCCCGAACAAAAAGCTGCACAAAAATTGATTTCAATTTAATGTAATTTTGAGGCAAAATTGGAATAATCTGATTGAAAATTACTTTGAAAAATTCAAACCATAACTGCATTTGACATAAATATGTGAAATTAATGAATTGAGACTTTAATGGTAATTTCAGGAAATATTTCCATCTTTGATTTATGTGTATTAAATTGTGAATGTTTTGATAAATGTAAAAATGTACAGATGTCAAAAGATGAACTAATCAAAGCAATCATTAGCCTTAATTATAGCAATTATAATTAGTGACCTATGGCCATTGAGACAATTGTTACCAATAACCTCAAATATGCAACTCCAAGAGAAAAGGCTTCATTTATTTATACCAATCTATATGATAACTGCCTTATTAAGGCAAAAGATATTACAACCTGTGAATTGTCATGAAGTGTAATAAATAACCTCTCAATTTCCAAATGATGAATAGATAAATAAAATATATTTCAGATAATTGTCTTAAAATATCCCGAAGACTCCAAGGAAAAAATTAAAAAACATTTTAAATATAGGGTTATATTACTATCATCATGTACCAACAAGTTCAAAATATACCCTACTAGTTTCATCTTAATGTAAAATATCCTTAAACACAGAACACTTCAAAGAAAAGGCTTAAGGAAAAACTTATTTAACATGTTTTCTTGGAGCTATGGACTAGAATAAATTCTATTTTCTATGGAATATGTTTTGGATTTACTTAGAGTGTCTATAAAAATGTAGCTCACAAATTTATTAATGTTTTCCTATTGAGCCCACATTGAACAAATACATGCAGTTCCATTTTTATTTGGACCGCATTTACACCTGAAAATAATCCAGTTTTATTGTGTGTGATTACAGGTAAAGATGACAAGGGTTGGTGTATGTATGTGGACAGTCAAAGAAGTTGGTTCAAACACAATGGACAGCACAAAGAAAGAACAATAGGAGGCATAAAACAAGGATCTGTCATAGGAGTCCTCCTAGATCTCAATCAACATACATTAAGTTTCTATATAAATGATGAACCACATGGGCCTATTGCGTTCACTGGACTACACGGTGTGTTCTACCCAGCTGTGAGTCTTAACCGCAACGTCCAGGTGACATGCTCACCAGGCTTGGATGCACCAAGTGAGAGTGAACACGATGATGTTAGTGAATGAGCACAAGACCTTCATGAAGAAGGCGATAAATCAATCAATCAGTGACATCCATTTGTCATTGGTCAGTGGGGTAGATTCTTCAAGCACATTTTTGTGTACAACTAACTGTACACCAGTGTAAGAAGTTGATAGGCTTCACTCCCGCCCAGAGACCATGAGGGGTCATAACTCAGAGGTCAAAGGTCAATGAGTAACCCTGGAGGAATATGTGATGAATGACATCCAATCAATTAATAATTAACATTTTTTATTTAGAATGTATTCATGTATTAATGGATCAGTATCCATATACATGTATTATGGATCTCTTTTAGAATAATAATTGACACTTAACAGACAATTGAGTAGATACAAACGATGACAATGCTGGTTTAATCAAATGTTGAGCAAATTCAATGAAATGTCTGGTTTGAGTATTTCAATTAGTAAATAAGAGAGGTGTCACACATATCCAATTTTGTTCCAACCACAGAATTAGGGTCGGATCACAACAAATTTTCCACCTGAACCGTTTCTATTTTTTGTTGTTTTGTGACAGCTCTAGCTAATACCTTCAGTCTAAAAGTAAATGCAATGATAAGAATGTTATACATTGTATTATTGTAATCCATTTTTAAATGAAAACTTTATCAATGGAATTACAATCTTTGAATTGCATGTATTGTAGAAGTCTGTTAAACTACTCACTACAGAATATTTTTCACTCCATTTTTGATAAATCCAGTATTGATGATAATTTATTTTAACATTAGATAAGATGCTAGGATACATATAGAATATGTACTAAAAGACAATGTTTACATTTAGTTGTAGCATCATATTTATTATTTGTTTTTTGACAAAACAAAAGTGTTATTAATCCTCTGTCCTGTATTATATATTAGGACAGAGAAATTCTGCATAGCAGATAATTATGATAAGGCTTATAACAGTTAGGTATTTTTAATTACAATATGGTTTATGGACTGTATTTATTGTAAGACTTTTAGGAAAATATTATTTTACATTTTAGTTTATTGTAAATGCACAATTTTATGTGTGTGTATCATAACACTAGTATAAGAACCACATAGATGATTTGGTATGTAAGTGTAGGTCACTTGGTCACATGAGTGTAAAAACGACCAAATAAATAAATTGAAATCCCAAAGAATTTATTTAACATTTGTAATTTTATTAATGTTGACTAAAGTAACGAATGGTTACTGCTGATTCCCAAAGGTCATTTTGACATTTTTAACAATTTATCATTTTGAGAAGTTATAATTGATTTCCTCTTGATGGAACAATCAGTCAATTTAAGACAAACTAATCATGTCATTGCTACATTTGTAGGATTTACATCTGCTGTATAAAGTCCCAATGTGTAGTTCAAATATTACAAAATATACAATTAAATATCAGTTGAATGAATAATTTTGATGAATTTACAATTTTTATGTATTTTATGTAAATATAACGCTTTAGATGAAAAAATAGGGAATGTGTTTTGATTGTCAAATATTATGCCCCAACCCAATGTTGCATTTTATTTATGTCTTGCTTTAAAGAAATTTGAATTATGTTCGCTAAGTAATTTTTGAGCATCTGATGTATGATTGGTCCCTTTAAGACATCATATTGTAGCTTGCTTTACCATGTTGTCATCTCCAGCATCTGTCACGACAATATCAAACATATGAAATGTAAATGTACATTTTACCAATAAATTATAAACTTTTATATTACATATCATTCGTCAGTTGAATTATGTTTATGGTTTTGAGGTGCTCACATTTTAGATTTCGTTTGATGTTCACTTCATTAGAAATATTAAAGAGAGGTGAAACATATGATATACAAGGCATTAACATGACAAAATGTCACCACCTTGTAAGTTATTGCAAATTGTTACAGACACTGAACGCCGACTGCTGTCACAAAAAAAAGTTCGAGACCATAACAATATGTCACCATTTTTGGTGGTCACATAATTAACAAATGAATTCTTACACAGTTATATGAACATATCCCATCCAAACGTGCATGGATGATTTTGAGAAGTTTTTACAGGTGGTCAATTTATAATGTCGTTTGTGCTTTTCATCATAGAGAACTATTTACACCAAAAAGACAAACAGATTGTTTTGTATGAATTTATTTCACAGCTCTATGAAGCCGCCAGTCAATACTGTGTGGGTACAACAAATAAGAAATACATGCACAATGTAGTCATATTTCATCAAAATATACAATAATTTTATATTTTCATCATTATAAAAATATTTAAATTGGAATGACATAATCAGATACAATCTAAACAATTAATGTTAAAATAGAATTTATGAAACTTACATTTTGACAATGTACAATGTTGATCCAGAGGATAAGCTATTACAGTCGAGTATATGTGGAAAATAATTTCCCATGAGGCCTTCAAGAGATCACTGTATGTACGTGTATGCATACATATGTTTAGACAGGAATGTTTGAGTATTAAAAACCAGAAAAATACTTTGAAATTGTACTCAGTAGGAGGAGTATTCATTTGACAATAAGGGACTAATATATAGTATAAATACTTGTATATATTGCAGTACATAACATTGCAACTACAGTGTACACAATAAAAGCATAAATTTATAGACAATAACAGCAACTTTAAAGATCAGATTCTCAACCAATTCTCTGCTCTCTCCATTGGTTATATGGATGCCACTAGAGTTTGGTGTCAAGTAGTGTAACAACTGGTACGTTGTGGAATTCTGTTGCCAACTATGTTATCCAGCATTGGATAGTACATTTTGGTGGTCACTTATGCCTGAGTCGCATTTCCTCCGATTCATCGGCCAGCGCCCAGCCAACTGAGTATTTTTTTCATACTGAACATAATCAAATCAAAAACTGAATGCAATCGATGAATCTGAGCAAATGTGACCCAGGCATTCATAAGTGTCAAAGCAAAAATTGCTGGTGTATTGTTAGGGTGTATAGTGAAACTTTCCTACTGTCATTTTTTGATGTACATGTACTTCAGTAGATTAGTATCATGTTTTTATAATTAGTGATATACCAGTCTGGCCCACAGGACTGTAAACCCAAATATGGTAATACACTGGTGGTCATATTTGTGAAATAATATAAAGGTTAAAGGATACAAAATATTCATCAGTTCAGTACTATTTTTAGGTGTAAATATAAAGGTTTAACAGTCAGTAAATGAATATTCTTCCGTCGGAAATCTGTTGGTTTCTTGTACCTGAAAAATAAAATTTGAAATCATGCATTTTGAATAAATCGAGTTTTCATTTACAGTTCAAAATGATAGCTGGTCTATTGTTCGATATAAATATCTAAAATCCTTATGATGTGCATTGAATATCTAAAGGAAGATACTGAGTGATGACATGAATTCATGGAGAGTTTATTTGGAAAAGGAACAATTACTCTTTAACTAGTACTAAACTTAACGTTTTAAGGTGGACAGAATGTAACAACTTTTGACATTGTGTCGCATGGCATCACTACAGATTTGTGTTTTCTAAATGCATTTATCTTTGTGCAGTGGTTAATGAAAACAACAGAACGAAATTCTGTGGTAATAGGGCTGATGTGAAAAAGTCAGTCAATCCAAGTTGGGATCAAATCCACAACCCCTCCCTTTCCAGATGAATGATTTTTCCACAGATTTACTCACAGTTCTATGACGGCAGGACCTTCCTTCACCTCATCCTTCTCTAGCATGGCCCAGCACTTGGTGCTTATCATTTTCTTCTTTGGTTTGTAGTGTTTTAACTCAAAGAATATTGCATAGCCTGAAAGAGGGAAGAGTGTGCAAAAATGGCACCAACAGAGGCAAAAGAAGTTAACAATGATGTAAATTACCAGCATGGACCCCATAAAAGGGATATGAACATACCAGTAGGTTCAGGCGAATGGCAGTTTCATTTGTCTGAAAATTATTGACGGTTTGAAGGACTGAATTTTTATCAATTTGAAGAACACATTCCAAGTAAAGTAAACAGAAGACCCCCTTCATTTACAAGGCATAATCATATTCAATATTGAATACTAGAATACAAGTATAACTTGTAACTTCAGTTGGTCCTCAGTGAAGTTACTATTTGCTACAAACGTCTGTACAACTTACCCTGTGGTAAAAACTCCAGTGGTTTCTGTATGTGCACGTCCACACCAAAGTGTATATACATATCCTCCTTCCTAGTGGTAATAGGGGTGTCTTGTGACACTGTCAGGTTAACACAGTTCAGGTCTGAAGAACAAATAAAATTCCAGTTCAAAAATAATTTTCATGTGCATTGCCAATAAACCACTTCATTATGCAGATTTTAGGGAATCTATTTCAATTTTGTTATAAATAGCTATTTTTGAAATTTTCAATTGCAAGCATTTCATTTATCAACTGGGCTTTATTCTTTTATCCTTTAATGGTCCATGACCCAAAATGTGTAGTCTTGTATCAAGTAAGCCTCTTGACTCTTTCCCTATCAAACTCTTGAGGCAAGACTGTCAAACTCTAATTCAATTATGTAGAAAAAAGTTGAAATAACCTGTAAAAAGAACAAAATGTGTCTTACCTTTGACCGAGACTGACATGAAAGTGTCCAGGTATTGCGTGGCATCCTTGAGGCCTATTTTCTCAATACGTATACTACACAGAGTTTTACCCTGTACAGGATCTGGGATGGGCAGTAGAGTACCACGAGCTGAAAGAGATCATTACTCCATAAAAATGTTAATGTCCAAGTCTGTCAGTCTAATATTTTTGTCTCAATGGGTAACTATCATATTGCAAATAACACAATTAGAATTGCTATCCTCTGAAGTGAACAGAGAGCATTGCTGCACATGTACAGGGTGACCAAAAATGCAATCCTCTAATTTGTAAATAAATCATTTGTGTTTATGGAGTGTTAATATACGCAAGGTAGAAGTGAATTAAAATTGCATAATGACAATGATTCACATGAAATCATTTTTTATAGAGGCGTGCTTCCACCCAAATTATTCTAATTCTGCACATTAGTTAATCAGGAAAAAAATTCCACCAGTATTGAGAAACTCATTTCAAAATAAAAGGTTTGCATTCATTCATTTTGTGTCACCTTGAACATGTATTTGTAGAATGCAATAATTGTTTGCCTTGAGATGATTCATTACCTTTATTGTTAGCTGCTGTCTCTTCATTATCCTCATCTTGAGTAGCACCATCGTCTAATTCATCTTGCCTGAAATATCAAATAAAAGTAACATGTTAATATGCAAGGATATCTTAAAAACCTGAACCACATTAACATGCATATATTGTTCCCTTATGACTGCTTGTGCTCTTTTATGTTACTTTCTCTTACTGTGCTTTGTCATGATCTTTCTCCTTATAGTAGTTCCCCTTATGGTATTTCCCCTTTTGGTACTTGTGCTTATATACGACACCACTAGCTCATTAGACCATTTTAATAGAGAATTTGCAAGTGATGTTTCTTGTAAGGTACATATAGCTGTTACCAGGGGGTGAGCTTAAGATTCTGAGAGCAGCTGATCAAAATGGCAGTACGAACCATTTTCCATGTTATTTTCCTATACCAACTGAGAAAATCAACTGGTCCATATCAAAAGTGAGCTGGCAAATGACCAGTGTACCGGTGTAAAAGGGTAGGGGGTCCTATCAAATTATGGTCCTACTTTCCATTGATTTATATGGTGACCTAAGTACAACTCTTTCCCTTATTATCGTATCCACAATCAGGGCCTATAAGGGCCTTTAAGAAAGGGGACCATAATCCCTAGGGGACCATAATTTCTTTCACACCGGCCCTTAGCTCAAGCCCTGGTTGTTACTCACCCTGTGGTTTGTTTAGTCTTTACTTGGGCTGCTGTTACATCTACTGGGAATTCCTTACTACCAGCTGAGAGGATACTCTTTAAACCTGAGAAAAATGTAATGTTTGTATAACAAGAACTGTGTGCTTGAGAAGCTTTCACAACAGATTATTATGTCCATGAATGATATAATAACAATGTTTATTTCAAGCTATGAGTAATTAAAACATCAAGTCTCCCCCCCACCCCTCTCAGCAGAACTTGATCAATAAGTGCATGTATAAAAGTAAGAGAGTTTGAGGAAATGAACAATAGGTGGGGTTAATTACAATAGAGAAACCAGGCAACATCCAATGACATGTTAATTTTGAATTAAATGTATACATACGTGGTTCAATTCTTTTTAAATCTTCTAGACTTATCCCTTCGACTTGACCTGGTTTCTGAAAAAAATCAGCAAAACCAGTCTCAGTCATAAGAGTAACAAACGTAACATATGCTTATTTTAATAAGATTTTACAATAATCTGGTAAATTACAATAAAATAAATGCACTTTCAACCATGTTTCGCTTCACATGTATTTTAACAAATAAGAGTACTGGTACCTGTAGAACGATACTTCGTAGTTTCAAACATGCCGCTATTTTACCAAGGATTTTCTGAAAGAGAAAATATAATACTGTATGATTATATGTATTTTATTCATTTGACACAAAGGTCACAAAATAATATATATAGGATTGAATTGAATAATCACTAACCCTGACTTGAAAAAATCATAACAGCCTGCAATTTGGTTTATCAATAGGTTTTTTACACTTACATATTTTTTGTACAATCTTAAGCCTGTAAAAATTAATACACACCTTATAATTTTAATAAGTGATTTATTAATTTCAAAGAAATCTAGTTTTGTATATGTTAAAGTCTATTGATGCAATTTATAGGTCGTGCTGAATTAGAGTGTTTTAGGATCAAATACAACATTAAAATCATTTTCATACACATGCAGTTAAATATTACATACTTTTTGTTCATCTGAGAAGAGATCATCGTCACAATCGTGTTCCTGCTGTAGAGTCTTGGCCAACCTGCACAATGAAATTATATATCAATACACATATTCATATATTCATAATGATTATCAATAATCCAATGGCTTGACTGAATGAAGATGAGCTATCTAAAATACCAGGACCAATAATCAATCAAATTGAACTTACTCAAAGGTCATGTAACTATGTTGTGAAATATGGCTGAGTTCTTCGAATATATGCCTACATTAGGTGACTCTAAATTTAGACAAGAATTTGAATATTTAGATTAAAAAGAAACTACTTCCACCTTGGTATAGGTCTAAATGATGTCACACTTATATGTGAGATTCTTCTATGTCTTAGTCTACTGATTCTGTATGTTACAATCCATAATGAATTAATATCTATTCTATGGTTATTTAGCATCATGAGGATAGATGAAGATTACAGTTTTTGCTCTTTAGGATACAGTGATCTCCCTATTAAAGCAAGTGAGCGCAGCACCCACCTGAGATTTTGAAAATAGGCTTGCACCCACCTGAAAATCCATTTGCACCCACTTGGAAATGAGAAATCATGAAAATGGGCAAATTTTGACCAATTTTAGTCTGAATTGTGAAAATGAGAATTTTGCACCCACTTGAGAAAAAATTCTGTTGAGAACACTGGGATATAATAAAATACAATTGATGTTGATGATAGATGCACCTTGAATTCTTCTGAGATACAATGACAGCCATGACATTCACTGTCGTTTATTCAATGTAATTATTTTACCTCTGATATCCTTCTATTGCCTCTACAGGTTGACCCCATCCATCAAAATCTGTCCCTGTTTTCAAGTCCTTGTACCACTGTGTCACAAGAGTCTGCCTTTCCTCATCTGCTTCATCCATATTGTGTCTCTTAATGAAATTTATCTTACGCGAGGTCTGGAAGAACAATATAATTACATGCCATCTTAATGTGGAAACATGCGCATGCATGCTCAAACTAAAGCAAACCAAAATTAGATTTCACATGTGGTAATATTGCATATCAAAACTTCCGAACTCATGAAGAACTGAGTTTGTTTTCCAGTTAATTAAATATCTCTTGCTTATGCTCAATGGTTACGCAACAAACTCTATATTCTGGTATTAATGATTGTTTACTAACTTCTATTAGGTAAGTGAGAGTCCCATTTGTTAGCTAAGTCTTATTTTTTTAATTCTCGCGAGTCAGTCAAGTTGGAAAAAGATATTAAAATATCAAGATACACAAAGTAAGGGCAGGTACATGTTTTTATTTTTCCATACAATGTTGCAATGTGGTCCTTCGTTCGCTTATTTATTGATTCAAAGTTGTAACTAAACATGTCATTTTGAATGTACAGATAGAAGAATGGTGTAATGACCTGGGGTGCCACAAGGAAAAGACTGCCCTGCCTAACGAGCATAGTTTAACAAGCCAGATAGATAGATTGATGGGATAGTGAATATGATTTATCTTACTCCCATAAATGGATGGTTGATTTATCAAATCAGATTTGAAAAATCAAACCCACATGGGGGTAGATTTATCAAAGGCCTACGGGAATCCAGAAATATTGAGTTAGGTTAGATTTACTGAACACACCCGTCTAAAGCCTGGCTTTACCAAAATGTGTTCAGTAAGGCTAGATCTAAGATCTACGTCAACTCCTACTACGATGTCAACACAACAGCAACATTACCTAATTTCCAAGCAAGAGATACATGTACACACAACAGAAGAGGAAATTCCCAACTAACTCCTGAAAGCCCACTGCAAAACCTCAATGAGACAAAATTCAGCCACAGGGTAACAGGCAATTGAAACAGTCTCCCAGAGTACGTTGTGCAGTCAGTCCATGTCAACCAGTTCAAAAACCGCCTCGATACTCATTGTTATCACCATCCTTTAAAATTCAACTACGAAATTGCTGGCGTACAAGTAGCCCCCAAGCTACGTCGAGAGCTACTTAGATTTTGAAAGTATAGCTCTCTATCGCTAGAATCAACAGCTTAAGAATCCTGACTTCAAAGAAAATTCCAGGGAATTCAGCTGACTCATGTTGCACATTATATACCTGAAAATGTATCCTACATCGCCATCTTTCATTCAGCTCAACTACAGAACGTCTCACTGCCCTATGTATCGATCAGGACTTCATTTTATTGGTCGTGTCAAAAGTTTTGGCCAGGTATATTCAATATGGCGGCTTGACGTTTCCCAAGCTGCGCATGCGTCGATAATATTTCCGTTTAACCGCCATATGGGAAATGGGTATCGAAAAAAAAAACGATTAGAACTCCTGATCGCCATAGAAGCACATCCCCGATCCTACATGCACGAGGAAAGTAGACACATATGAGCCCACATGTAGGCTACAGTTTGAGACAAACAGTAAGCCGCTGACTGGCGCTGATCAAATTTAGATGTCACAATTCTTCAGCTTGAGATCCTCACGATGGAGAGCTATACTTTCAAAATCTAACATGGTAGCTCTCGACGTGAGTAAATTAGAACTGTCATACAGGCAACGTCTTCCTAGGACGGAAAATTACTTATAAACTTAGGCTTAGAAGGCTGATGCGTGATGGAAAATTAAAAAAATAATGAAAACAAAAAAGTCAAAATTATTTTGTATTCAGTTGTCTCTATAACTTGCTATCGACGTATAATAATGATCGTAAAGATACTTTGGGTCAAATTGAAACGGATTAACATGAAACTTACCTTATTTAGACATATTAAGGCCCCTAACAAGACGATGTTGGAGAATATCTAAAAAATATTTGATTCAAAGTTCAAAACCGGAAGTTTTGATGTAGGTATCTAAAAAGCAAACTCTTGGGGCGAACTTCTGGAAATTAAAAACGAAAACGTAATGTTCACTAAAATTAAAAGCAAAACCAATATATCCCATCTTCATCCACAGTTTTCATACCAGTGTGAAAGAAATTATGGTCCCCCAGGGATTATGGTCCCCCTTTTTAAAGACCCTTACTGGCCCTGATTGTGTATAAGATAATAAGGGAATGAGGTCACCATATAAATCAATGGAGAGTAGGACCATAAATTAATAGGACCTCCTTCCCTTTTACATCGGTACCACCAGTATCTAATTACACTGGCGGATCTGGGAGACCTTGGGTGGGTCCAGAAAAAAAAATTGGGCCCAAAAAAATTTTGAGGAGGCCCCAGAAAGTGGGCCTTTTTGTTATAAATAGGCCTTCTAAGGCCTTATTTCTTAAGTTTCAGCCAAATTTAGAAGAAAATGGACCTAAAAATTTCAAAATATGGGCCCACTTTTTGGTTTAGCGGCCTAAAAAATTTTTCCGCTCAAGCGCAGACATTTTTTCTCAGACAAGAATTTTGGGCCCCCCCTTGTTGGTTCCCAGATCCGCCCCTGAATTATATACAACCAAACTTCTGACTTTTCTGGGGGAGAGCCGCCAGACCCCCATTTCCCCTTGTTTTTCGCTTCTCTCAACTCTTGTTCCTGTGATGGCGTACTACTCATAAATATAGCGCTACGCCCATGGTATAGTATATCATAGATAAATTCCTGCCAAACCATCGGAACCTCAACTTCAAGTAGATATGCATTACTTGGGGAAGCGGTTGCTTCTTTCAAAATCATGCAGTTTTTACCATTATGGCACTTTCTGCAAGATTTTTAGCCAAAACTGTCCAAGAGCCCCCCCCTCCCCCTTTGGCAATAGCTCCCCTTGGTAAACCCCCCCCCCTTGGTAAAAGCTGGCTACAGGTCTGAATATGGGTAACTTCCTGAGAAATTCAGTATGGATACACTCATAGTAAAACAATGGAACCTCAACAACAGTGATACACCCCTGGAAAATCCTCAACAAAATATACACCCATAGTAAAATATCTACTCAAATAGATTATGAGTTCTATTAAAATAAATAAAGGACAGAAAAGAAATATTACTTTTCAACATATTTATCTTTATAAAATGACACAATATGCATACATGTATACAAATAATCTATTTTACACTATTGTACAATATTATGAGCTACAAAGATTGACAATATGCTGTACAGTATAACAGTAAACCCCCAGTGTATTTAAATATTATTTTTATACAATACAACTTACACAGCCAATATTTCATAGAATAAAAAGTATTTTCCATAATCTAGCCAATATACAGTGTAATAGCATGGGCTCTCTCAAAACAATATGATAACAACAAGGGAATTTATTGGAAATTGAACTCTTTTTCAATGTGCAGAAGATAATCAGACACACTTAAATATATTGAAAGAACTGTGCACATATCCTCTAAGTTTTAACTAATTGCATACCAGGAAATATACAGATGAAACAAAACATTTGTAGAACATAAAGCACCAAATGTACATTTCAAAGCACATGAAAACATATCACCAAGAAACAATTGAAAATATGTGAATAGGCCTACTTTATATACTGATTCAAACATATAATTCTGAGCACAGTTTGCAAAGTATATGATAAGATGCTGAATTAAAACTCCAATAGTTAATATATGACTCTTTTATCATAACCATCCATTTTAAATTCTACGTAATGTGCAATGAAAATTATTCACAAAATGGAATGCCCTTCTATTTCAAACTCATTTTTGCTCTGAAATCAACTCAGGCTTCGTTGCATATGACTTATACATGTATTCCTGTGTAATCCCCATAATATGTACAAATGTCAGTTTATAGTTTTAATTGGGGTTTTTCTAAAGAAAACCATGTAATAAAAGTCAATGGTTTTAGTATATTTCTACAAATACAAAACCATTATTTATTAATTGTAAAAGTAATCACAGGATTCAATTTAAAGTAAACAAAATCCAAAATAAAAGAGAAGTAAATGCATTAAACAAATTCAAAAATGCATTAAACAAATTGGCGAATGCATTAAACAAATTGGTGAATGCATTAAACAGCCTATTGACTACAAGTTTGGGTTTTTACATAGTTATAAAAATAATATAAAGCGACTTATTGGTGACTGCTATTTCTAATTTTAGGTTCCACGATGGCTGTCATAACAGCCCTATTTAACAATTGTATATAGGCCTCTATCTTATTGCCCTTTATAGCTGAATTTTCAAGACTAAAGGGAACACAAATGTCATGAGATAAAGAGATGCACAAATCAAAATTTTCAGGAGCATAAAAACTTCATTTGACAATTCTTACAAATAAAATGTGCGAATGAAGTCAACCAATGAAATTATATACCCCTTTGTCTTTACATGTCTCACATATATTTAGACCATGGCTTTGGCATTGAAATTTCTTTGCATACAATATGGGCACAATTTAAAAAAGAAAATATTTATAAGGTGAGCACTTTTTTAGAGTGAGTCCATCTTGGATGGTTGCCTCTTTCGTGTGGTTGACTCTGCAGTATCATCTAGTAGATCATCATCTGTTCCTTCTTCCTGCAGAATAAAATATACATTAATGAGTATAAATAATGTAAAGCATTACTATTAATGTTTTTAATGTTTGCAGATTGTTGAAATTTTTCTGCAGTAATTTCTTTTCACTATTAAGCTAAAAATATCTCACATACAAAATGTTGCTAAAAAATCTATATTTCACAATCAGCCAGCTCTATGAGAAAGAAATTCCCATGTGAACAAAATATGTTCTCTCAAATCAGTATGTTTCTTGACTACTTATCATAAATACATGTATGTCATGCTTAACCCCTTGACTACCTGGAGTGACAAGATTTCTCGTAACCTCAGAAATTATCTTGAAACCCAGAGTGATGAGAAAATCTGTCACCAATTTTTTCACGAAAACTGCTCTAATTTGAAAAATTTTCATCCAATATACACAAAAATTGTTTTAAAATGTCTAAAAATGATCTCTGCCATCTAATTTTACTATGTAGAGCATCTAAAATTGTATAGGTATTTAGTAAAATGTCAAAAGGTGGCAAAAATGAAAACTTCTCTCATTTCAACTGATTTTAGAATCTGGGATTCAAGAGGTTAAAGTACCAAAAAGCTAGTGTAGCAATATTGGTTGTTGAATATGTTCAACCAATCATATTGCAATATTTCAATTAAGTGTATGATAAAATGACTTACACTTTCCTCTGAGGATGTATCTTTATGTCGTTTGTCGGGGTTAGCAAAGTATTCCTGAGGAGGTCTATAGCTGGGTCTAGGGGGACACATACAGTCACATAGGCACACTAAAAGCTGGAAAACATGGGAATTTTACATGAAGAATTGTACATGAAATACTGTAAATAAAGAATCTGTACATGTTGAAATGTACATGTAAACCAGTACAGGAAGAATTGTACATGTCATGTAGATCTGTATGGGTCCATGTTAACTGCAACCAGTCTCCTGAGTCAATGCGACCAACTCCATTTGTTTGCTCAAAATAATTAGATACATTATAAGCAAAAGTGACCAATGAGAGGCAGGATCACTTGGAGCCTGGTTGAAGTTTGCACACTTCGGATCTGTACACGTAGAACTGTACATGTATGTGTAGAATTGCACATGTAGATTGAAGAGAACCATTTCTAATCATCATTCAATGACTGATGGACAGCTGGTACAAATAAAATACAAGAAATATTCAAGAAAATCAGCATTTATTAAAATCTAATCGAAGAATCATATCAAATCAACATGAATTCAATTTCATTGTTTTAAATGCAAAAGTTTGATTTTCATAAAAAAGCCAATGAAACAAGTAATACATGGACTAGACTCAGCTTGGGTGTCATCTTATCTGAAACATGATAGCACAAATGTCATGTCACACAGACAAATGTCATGTCATACAGTCTCTACCCATTATTATTCAAAGGAAAGTTTAACAAAAGAAGTACTGTTTTCTACATACCAGGCCAAGCACTAGTCCTGCACATATAGTTGCAATGCCAAACAGGACGTAACTCCCCCACTCTGGGACACCATATGTCTCCGTCATTGTTGTATGTATATTCTGAAATCAGAGGAGAATAATGCAGTGAATGTACTGCAATTTGGAGCAACATATTATTTTAAATATTCTGTTTAGATTATCTATGTTGGAAAAAAACTTGAAGAAAATTTGTGTAATTAGGAATTTAAGCAATGAAAAAAATCAGGGGAAAATAAACTGATACAGTAACAAGAATTGAAAACCAAAAAGGGGAGTATCTAATTATGGATATGAATCTGAATTAAAAGGACATCTTAAAAAATGTCTCACAAAAATCTAGGAGTAATATTAGAAAAATGAAGTTTTTAAAAAATGGAGGTTTATATCAAGAAATAAGGGAAACCCTTAAAATATTCATTGGATTTTCTTGTATTCATAAAGATTGGAGTGTTTATTGATTATACATTAAAACCTGCATATCCGAACACCTGGCTATCTGAATACCTCCCATGTTAAGGAAACCTTGAAATGTGAAAATTTCCCAATTTAAACAATGAACTGTCATATTTGAAATATATGTCTTATCTGAACAAATTAAAAAAAATATCACATGTTGCAAATAGTCTAATACAAAACTGCACTAATTAATATCATATCCAAACCTTTGAAAAAACACTGAATGGTCTCAATCTTGATGTTTCCTTCTAACACGACTAAAAAATTAATTTAATTGGATTTTAAAATTGAAGCTATATGGTCAATAGAGCTTAAAATGTTTATTTAAAATGTGTTCATATTTTTTCAAAATCCAGAATCTCCCAAATGCAAAAAACATTGAATTGTGAACACATCCTAATCTGAATCCTATATGACGTTCAGAGTAGACAGGTTTTACTGTACTTAAATATATAAACTTACCCTGATGATCATTGCAGCTTTGAATAGCATTCCAACAACAGCCATTCTACAAGAAATATGCAATATGAAATAAGTATAAATGTAGGGCAGATTGAGATTACTCAATTTACACTTCTTTCATTACTAACTACATATATAAAAATCACTTGAAGTGCTCAAAATGGTGAAAACTGAATGCTTTTCTGGCCAGCCCCCTTGCCACCCCCCCCCCCCCCCTTGTCTGGTATAATGTACTTTTACTGTATTTCACAAAAGGAAATGAATTGAGGAAGTACAAAGTTTATGACCAAGTTGAAATGACTGGTTGAGACTCCTATGATTGAGTTGAGTTATAAACTAATAGGGGTCGGGTTGTTCTTTAGTTGAGTTGACATAAGTTGAGACATTTTTTGTTGAGTCAACTTTGTGTTAATGTGACTTTGGGTCTTGACCGTGTATATTGAAGCATAAAGTACTTACTGTGGTGAGGATGGGCTCCAGTACCAAGCTATTGGCTCCAACATTTCATACTTTTTCTCATCGAGGAATGTGATAAGCGCATGTTCTGAACGCTCGCCTTTATACTGCCTGAACACACCATCTTTTACACTGCAAAACAAATAGTTCTATATTATAACAGTTTCAAAAAAGTATACAATTTTTATCCACAAGTAGATAGTCCAGGAAAAAGGTGATACATTATCTGGCATGAGGTTAAATATGCATTTTATGTATCAGCAACAAGACTTCTTTCACAAAATAAAAAACAATTAAGCCTTCATTAACAAAACATACAATTAAGCAATGTCTAAATATAGTTAAACAATGATGGCATTTACTGCAATAATAAAGACTGGTGTTATATTGTTAAAAATGTGAACAAGGCGAAGCTATATGACATTTCAGATATTACTTTGAGATTTACCACATCCTACAACTGGTGTGGGTGTTCAGTGTCATTGGTGAACAATCAACATGCACTGACATACGAGTATATGGGTTTAATGCTGTGAATACTCATTAGTGTATGGTGGGGACAATGCTGTGAATACTCACTAGTATATAGTGGGGGACAATGCAGTGAATACTCACTGACATACAAGTATATGGGGATAATGCTGTGAATACTCACTAGTATATAGTGGGGACAATGCTGTGAATACTCACTGGCATACGAGTATATGGGGATAATGAATACTGTGAATACTAAATTGTATATATGGGGACAATGCTGTGGAAACTCACTAGTATATAGTGGGTAATGATGGCATACTCACTTGTATATATGGGGGAACTGCTGTGAATACTCACTGGTACATAGTGGGTAATGCTGTGAATACTCACTGGTATATATGGGGGCAATGGTGTTAATACTCACTGGTATATAGAGGGTAATGCTGTGAATAGTCACTGGTATACATGAGGGGCAATGCTGTGAATACTCACTGGTATATACATAGTAGGTAATGCTGTGCATACTTACAGGTATATATGGGGGACAATGCTGTGAATACTCACTAGTATATAGTGGGGACAATGCTATGAATACTCACTGCTATATAGTGGGTAATACTGTGCATACTCACTGGTATATATTGGGGGGATGCTGCGGATACTCACTGGTATATAGTAGGTAATGCTGTGCATACTCACTGGTATATATAGTAGGTAATGCTGTGCGTACTCACTGGTATATAGTAGGTAATGCTGTGATAAGGAATCTTCCACTTAGACTAGGATTCTCTGTTATATCAGACTTAGCAATAGTCACACTGAAGTCTTTCTGCCACCCAGCCACCTTGTCCCATGTCTCCTCTAGCTGCCTGCATGCCGGGCACCATGGCGCATAACTAGAATCATAGATATTTAACATATATTTAGTATTATGCTCCTTCAACAAAGTAATCCCTCTTTGACTATGACTCATCCTCTGCCATAATTGATTTTAAACAACCCATATTCCTTCATCCAGTTAACATTCTTATAATTGTAGAATACACACAAATAAACAGATATTTTTTTTTTTTTTTTTTTTTATTAAATTAATCATTTGTACAAAGAATACATACAATAATACAGTGTAAGTGGCTGTGCTTTTAGCATTATTAGCCACGTTCTACAATTACAATATAAAATGTATTCAATCAATAATATTTGATTAAAATAAATGAGATACAATAAGATAAAAGTTGTTTTGTGGAGGATTTCAGACATTTACACATCGCTCGAAGAAAATGGCACTGCACTTTAAAACAATCAGATTCTCAGCTCTACTTAATGTTTTATCACCATTGAGGATCAGAGAAAGTTTATCACGTTGTGTCTTATATTTACGGGAGTATTGTATATTCATATTTTTTAGTTGGTTTTCTAATTCAGTCCAGAATGTTAATCTCAAGTTACATCGAAAAATCACATGGCTGGTTGTTTCACTGTTAATACCACATGAGCAGATGGGGGAATTTACATTGGTAAAGTTATGCGAGTAAAGGTGAGCCTTGAAAATGAAATCACATCGTACTCTGTTAAATATAATTTCTTGGTTTCTTGAGATGGACAGTTCTGATGAGTTAATGACAGTTTCGTTAAAAATATTTCTTTTAAGGCTTGATTTAAATATGCTTAAGCTAGATGAGTTCTTTATATCAGATGGCAGTAGATTCCATTCTGATATTGTTTTTGAGATACAAGATCTTTCATAAAATTTGGATTTAACTGGTAAAATATAGTCAAGTTGGTGTCTTAGTACATGTGTTTGATTTCTTTTTAGTGGTTCAAATATCTCAGTAACATAAGAAGGCAGCAAATTGTTGTGAGCTCTATACATAAAGGTAGCTCTATGATATTGACGTCTATTTGAGAGTGTGGGCCAATTTAAAGTATTCAACACTTTTGTGGTTGATGTTCCATGCATGGCACCTGAACAAATAAGTGCAGCTTTATAGTAAAGGCGGTCTAAAAGTTGTAGTTTTGTCAAATTTGCACATCCGTAAAGAATATCACAATAATCAAAGAGTGGCAAAATAAAAGACTTAAAAATTGTTTCAAGGTGTTTTCCACTTATTTTCTTACTGAAGACTTTTAACGGATTTATGAGTTTATCTATTCTTGCTACAAGTTCAGTAATGTGATAGTCAAAAGTGAGATTTTTGTCCAAAATCAACCCCAAGTGCTTGTGATTGTTTACTCTTGGTAACTTGTCATTACCAAGGGAAAGATCTGGGGTCAAAATTTCGCGCTTTCTTGGATTAAAAAAAGTCATATCTTTACTTTTACTAGCTTTGAAGTTTAATTTCCATGTATTTGACCATAAGAGAATTTTATTTAGATCCTCTTGTAATTCATTATTCTTAACAGCTGCTGTTTCAGCTGTGAAGGATTGGTAAAGTGACGTGTCGTCTGCATATATAAAACATTTGGTACTTAAGTTATCAGGTAGATCATTGATATAAATTAAGAACAGGAGGGGGCCTAATATGGAGCCTTGAGGTACTCCTGCGTTTATATGGTTCATCTCAGATAGTTCAGACTCATGGCCATCCAATACAACTTTTACTTGTCTATTTGATAGGTAAGATTTCATTAATTCTATGATGTTATGACCAAAACGTTACATTTTCAGTTTTTTTAATAGTAGCCCATGGGGCATTGAATCAAAGGCGGCCGAAATGTCAAGATAAATCCCCCTTACATTGGCCCCATTTTCAATTTCATTAGTTATGACATCAATTATACTTAAAAGCTGTGCCTGGGTGCTGTGACCTGGCAAAAAGCCACTTTGGAGGTTATAAAATAAATTGTTCAAAATGAGATGGTCAAAAAGTCTTTTGAAGATTACGCGTTCTGCAACTTTAGATATACAGCTCAGAAGAGTGATAGGTCTATAATTTTTTACATCTGTTTTGTCTTTACTTTTATGAATTGCTACAACATGGCCTATCTTCCAAGAATGGGGGTATTTATTAAGAATGAACATTTTGTTTAATAATTTTGATAATATGGGTGAAAGTGATGGTGCTGCCATTTTAAGCATTCTATTGCTTAACATGTCAGGGCCAGTAGCTTTATTTGTATCTAACCCAAGTAAAATGCTATAAACCTCTCTATCATTAGTAGAGAGTAGGTCAAAAGATTGATCAGTTCTTAGAATAAAAGTTTCATTTCCTTCTTGATAGTTTATATGATATTTGTCAATGAAATGAGACAGTAGCAAGTTTGCTTTGTCATGGCTATCAGTGTAACTGTTACCTCTAGCATCACAAAGAAGTGGTATTTTACTATTTTTACATTTTCCCAAAAGCCTACTTACAATTGACCAGTATCCTTTGCTTCCATATCTCTGATTACTTAATTTATAGTACAACCTTGATTCCATTGCCTCTTTGGCCTCACGAATAGCATCATTAACAAGATTACATTGATCAGTATATTTTCTAAAGTATTTGTCATCATGTGTTTTCCTGTACTTACGATGTAATTTATTTCTTTTATTTATCAAGGTTTTGATATCGCTTGTAAACCATGGCTTATCCGTAGGTTTAATTTCAATGTCAGAGTTTGGAATAAGATCTGTAAAAATTGCAAGTAACCCTCTAGAAAAATTGCTTACTATGTCATCTAAGTCATTACTACTATCTATCAAATGATCAAAGTCTGCTGCTCGAACTGAATTGTTAATTATACTTATATCTGCTTGGTCATATTTCCAAATTTTTCTTGAATAGGGACGGTTTTTAAGAGTTTTAAGAAAACACTCCGTGTTTATTGAGCAATGGTCAGTGTTTCCAATCGGAGGAGAGACATAGGCATTTGTTATAATATCAGGGCTATTTGAAATGAGAAGATCGATACATGATCTACTAGTATTTGTTATTCGCGTAGGTTCATCTATAAGCTGAAAAAGTCCAAGTTCTTCAATGTGTTCAAATAATTTTTTTCCTGTGAAATTTTCATTGTCTGAGGCCCACCATTGTTTACTCCTTGCATTAAAATCTCCATTAATAAAAATAGCTTCTGGGTTAGAGTCAAGTGCCATATTGCATGAGTTTGAGAACCTAGTGCAGAATTCATTTGCCTCATTTTGAGTTTGCGATGGTGATCTATAATAAATTGCATATAGATATGACTTGTGGTTAATGCTCAATTCAATCCATAAGGAGTCACCCTGATCATTCATAAGGTCATTTCTAATTTTAAAAGGGATATCATCTTTAACATATATCAATAGGCCTCGATTTTTATTCGAGTATACATGACAATGACCATCTATAGAATAATCAGAAGAAACTGTCAAATCAGTTAGATTTCCAACCTCACAAAGTCCAATAATGTCATTTCCATTGATCTGTATTCTATCTTTAAGTGCTTCAAATCTGGCATTTACATTTGCACTTATACTGTTTATATTTGAGAATAAAATCTTTGTGAGCTTAAAATGATTTGTAGGTCCTGGATTCTGATGAACATCATTACTCAGTAAAAGAATAGCTTGAACAGTATTAGGAATATAACATAAAATAGCACAGAATGGAATGAACAATAAAACTATACTAGCAAACATCTTCATTATGTAAAATGTACCAAAATGTTTGTGATTGCTATGAATATAGACAATTGTGCCCATGAAAGTTAAACCATGGATGACAACTAACAATGTACTAATGCATCCAAATAAAATCTTACAAGAATTCAAAGTGATTTGCCTGCTTGAATCTGCTCTGTAGAGCTCAAAACCACATATCAATGTAAGGCAAATGTACAATGGAATCCAAGAAAATGAGTTAAAATAGTCGAGTATGCAACTGCTGCCATTTTTGACTTTTCTGTTATTAACTGATATAAAACACTTTCTACTGTTGTGCATTCCAACACTCATCCTCCAGGCAGTGACACTAATGCCCATTTTAATTTTAATTCATATATGCAATATAAGAAAAGAAACCGTACTATTTACAGATAAATTATCTGATGTGTCATGTCTGGTGAACACTTGCTATATGAAATACTGTTCCCTTGATTCCTTATAGTAGCTTATTGAATATGTAATAAAGTAGCTAGTGATAAGAAAGTAAGGGTTTCACACCAATTAGTTGAAGAGTTTCTCCACAAAACAACCTTTATTTTAAAATATTTAGTTAAAATTGATTAAAGTCAAGATATAAAACAAATGTAGAAAAGTACAGTTATAGTACTTGACTTTTACTGTAAGTGTTTGGCTCTGAAAACGGCAAACTCAATGTTCTATCTGTTCAAAGGCAAAAACTTTTGAAAATATGTACAGAGTAACTCATTTCAGGTGAGCAGTGTTTCAGTAAAGTGAAATGCACCTATTAGCGCTACTGATTGGCGCAATGTAAGGTCATGACCTTGGATCTATGCCAAAACAGTGTTTACATTGAGAGTGATATATACCCGCACATAAGTTTCACTGTAACATAAATGTATGGTTTGTTCCAAGTATATATCTTGACACAGATATTAAACATTCAAGAAAAATATAATCTAAATTGTTTGTCATTGACTGTTCAAATATGTACAAAACATGACAAATTTGCAATAGTACCTGAAAAAGGTTTATTCCAAAGAATATAATCCAAATCATAACAAAATCAAATCACCTTTTCAAACATAATAAAAACAACTAACCATATACAATGGACAATTAACATGAACATGCATGTATTTCAACTATGAGACTTAAACTTATTTTAACATGTTAATGAATATGAATAACATTTCTCAGTTTAATGAAAACCAAATACATCACTTATATATTGTACCAGCATATTAATCTTACATAATAAACAGCTGGATTGGCTATAAAGAGCTTTTCTGTAGGTAAACAAAAGAGTAATATAAAAGACTGTCAAGTCTCAAAATTCAAATTAATTTCTATGATAGATTTTACAGGACTCTCACTGGAAAATATTTAGGGTGTTGTCAACAGAACCATTCAGTCGTGATAAATCATAATAATGTCATATTTTATCCTATACAATACATGCTTTTATTGTGTATTCAGTAAGTTTAGACTGTGGGAACAATCAATATTTGCCAATAGGGTGCGGTGAGTGCTAAACAGACTGTGGTGCTGCGCCACAGTCTAAAAGCCTAGCAAGAGCCCTGTTTTACTTTCTGACATGATGATGTGTACCTGATACCTGTTTTCTCAATACAGTACACAGCAAAACCCTGACAGTACTGTAGGGGGCTGTTTTGGCTACTGTACTGTATGGTACCTTAAATACCATGCGGTACTGTAGACTAGCTAACAGTGTTGTACAAGACATGCAGTCATAAACATCACGTTCTCCCAGGCACGCTTTGAAGACTAAAATAGCTGCCATGCAAGTTAGGCTACCCAGTATGCCAAAAACCTGCCAGCAGCACAAGGTGACAACAATATAACATATTCAATGTAGTAAATATGATGCACATAAAGCTGTGGCGTTTTGTAATTTAAGAGAGTTTTTATGGAAATTCTAAGGATGACTGTATGCCCGGGACTGTATGACACTCAGTGCTGGACTGCTGGTTCATCAAAATGAAAGATTTCAAGGAATGCCACAAAGATTGTATTGAAGAATCCGACTGGAACGAAATATAAGATTGGTAGCCCGTGTAACTTAGTGGAATATTGAATGGACTGAATCAATATTATGATGTCTGAAAAGGTTTTACTGTTTACTGAAAGTATAAATCACTAAAATCTCATCTGACTTCACATGATTCCTACTTCCGGGTTGAAATTTTCAGTTGTACTTACAATTCTACGAACCATTCGTCTTTCAAAATGTCTGACCAGTTGTTCTCATTTATAACTGTAACCTTATTATCATCTTTACCGCATGAGATACATCCAATGATGGCTGAAAGCACCGTTATTTGAGTTAAAAAGGAAATGTGTTTCATTTTTATTTTTTGAGCGCTCTGCCCAATTGATGAAATGGCGCTTTTTGATTGGTTCAAAAGGACAACATAACTTGTTTTATTTCGTATAGTGCTAGAATGACATAAATCCCGGGGTTTTTGAATTTTTGGAAAGGAATCATGTATGATTACAGAGAGTGAGTAACCATAAAATAAAATGAAGAACTATGATATGTCCGAATCAATGCACTTAGAGGATATTATTAATTTACAAACATATTAAATGCCAGCACTGAGATAATAATCTAAGAATACAAAGGGCAACATACAGACACACCAAATGACCAATCCCGGGTGACCAATGAACCATATCTGGCCTGGTTAATAATTAAACAATGCATGTACTTCAATCTACATAGATTCAGAACAATCAAAAAATGATTTCAAAAATATTTAATCATCCCAAAGACTGATATTAATCAATAGAGCAAGCCACGAGTAGATTAAGAGAGAAACTGTATTTACATATCCAGATGCTCATGCAGTATAAAAAGGGGATTTTCAATGATTTGATTGATTTGAAGCATGCAATTGCTATCCATGAGTGGATACAATTTGTGGCTGGACTTAATGGTGGAGATGGATGATATTCATGTGTTGAAAAGGAGAAAGATGATAGAAAAGAAAGTCATTGGATATGATATTTATCCAAAATATTCCAGAAGATTACCATTTACATTCTAAATATAGCTCACAAAAATTAACAATAAAATCAATTAAGACTTAAAAACATTCGAAACCTCAAATGCTTACTCAACCATTAACAGTTTTTTTACATCTATAAAGTGGATGCATGAAAACATTAAAATAACTAAAGAAGCACATAAAAAATTTAGTAGCACACACCAAAATTATCTTGTGTTGTGATCCACATATAAATTCAATATCCATGGGATAATGATGTATTATCTTACGTAACACCTTCTTAATATAAAGCAATAATGCAATAAGTAATATACATCTTATAGGTAGACATATTATTCATATATCAAACACAATTGTCATCTAAAATAATCCAATGCTGGTAGAACTATTGATTATGCCACATAAGGCAAAGAATTATACTGGTTATTACTGAGTTCCCACTCAACACAATCTACAGCAGGAGACCAGTTGATAATTCATCAATACGCTACAGCGTTCTAATATGAGAGAAGCTAATACGAAATCTTAGGGTATTACAGAACCTAATTGTGAAGTATAGTGAAGTACAATATTGTCACATCATATGTGTCTGTTAGTGCCTCTAGTAATAGCTAGATACATACAGGGGAAGTAGTATACAGAGAAAAATCAGCAATTACTAAAGGTACAGTATGTGTTTTCTTATACCTTTTATTTCCTTATAAATATAGTATAAATTTAAGAATACAGAATTTATATAATTTGTATTTGTGTTTTGTTTGTAAATATTTGTATTTGTATTTGTTTGTAAATATGGATATGATATATTTCCCATGTACAAGAAATTGCAATTCAGTATTTGGATACACGAATATTAACTAATATGTATGAGTGTACAGCTTCTATTGGCAATCAACACACTACCTTAGACGGGGGGGGGGGGGGGGGGGGTCATCAATACAGAATCATTATATGTTTCTTTTATATTCAGTCATCTTCTTTTGTAGAAATGTGTCAGGTTCTCACTCTGGCTGTATGTTTATTTGCTGGTCACCTAACAGCACACAATCACCATGGCAACCATGCTCAAGTGCCACCTGTACCTGGATCTGATGCAACACACAATGTTGACAAGATACATGACTTCCATGATCCCACCAAAGATTCAAAGTAAACAATTCAGCATCATTTAATAATGTTCTTGAATATTAAATTGGGGACTAAAGTGTACTAAGATAAATAATTGTATCTCATATTTCCCCTTTAAAATTAGTTTTGACATTTAGTTTTTTTGAAAAAAGAATTTACAAAACAGGTACTTTTTTACATTTGTGGATGCAGATTAATATGTTGACCCTGTCTAGTAGGATTTGGGAATTTTCACTTGAATCAACTCAAAATAATGACACAGTCACTGTTTTGGACAATTGGAATTCTTGCTCAAGTCCCTTACTTATTAAATGTAGATTTTAAGCAATGCCTTGCCAAACTAGAATGATATTTAGTAGCTGTCATAACAACCACATCACAATTAGCGCTAAAATTATTATAGTGTGCATGTATATTCACTTAGATTTGGTGTTTATCAAATGTTGCCCTTTGTGGTGTTAGATTATGATCAATTTGACACTGTATACATTTATTTTCAGTCATATTAAGGAGCACTATGAAGGTATAGCCAACTTGGATGAGGCCAACATGACAGCAGAAGAATTAGAATTCCATTATTTCAAGTAAGTTTTTCAAGTAATTATTTCAAGTAAGTATTTGACATAAAATATGTAAATTGATAAGATAAGTAAGCCAAGCAGAACTTGATTATTTAATTCCATCAAATTAATAGAAGACTTCTGATTCATGAAATATTTAAAAGCCAACAGCTTGCTTACCATAAAATATTGTTTTATTTTATATTGAACAAGATCATTTTTTCTCATAAAATATTCCTCACTCTTACTGATAATAATTTACATTGTACAGTAAAACCTGTCTAAGTGGAACACATTTGGTACCTCTCAAGTGTGTCCCACTTGGAAGTGTTCAATTTATAGAGGTTCATTTAACATTAGTAAGTTGGTCTTGGGACCTGAAAGGTGTTCCACTAACAGAGGTGTTCCAATTCTCAAGATTCTCCACTTTAAAGGTTTCCCTGTTATTTATATTGAGCTGTACAAAATGCTATGATATATTATAAATATGAGTGACCAATATCAATGTTGTATTTTGATGAAAGATGTGTGTGATACCAAATACAAGTCATAAGTGAGCTTGCAAAATCCCTCAGATTTCTCATTTTTAGAATTTGTAGGAGTTTGATTTGCAATTTGCAAGTCGTCATGTGTGTATTATAACATATACTTGCAATTTACCAATTTTGTCAGGTGGTCCACTAAATAAGACTAAAAGACAATAACTGCATCAATTTCCTGTTTCCAGGCAACATGACTTTGACAATGACAGCAGGCTTGATGGTTTGGAGATTCTCTCTGCACTGACTCATCTGATGCCATCTGATATAGATGAACGTAAGGAAGGTGAAACTGTTGAAGATCTCAAGGCTAAACAAGAGGAAACATTCCAATATTATGTTGGTATGTATATTAGGTCAATCGTGGTCATGCTTGAAGGCATCTACTTTACAAGGAATTAACATTATTTTATTTCTTGTTTAAGAGGCATTCATGCTCATTAATTAACATTGTTTGTTTGATTATACACAAAATAAAAATTAGTACAGTACATTCATATGCATTTCTATGGTCACTATATCAGGCCTGTCAACTTGGGAACAACTTACATGAGTGACTTGGAAATGTTGAACACCTCCCCTCAAAATGTGGACACCTTGGTCGAAATCTGAACACCTTGATCCAAATTTTGAACACCTTGGTTTAAATTTTATTACATCTTGCCAAATTTTGAACACCTCAAATTTTTCGCGCCCGCTACGCTCGGGGGGTAGGGGTAGGTTCGAAAAATTTCGAACGGAATGCGTGACATATACGTAATTCGCGTGAAAAGTCCGAACGAAATGCGTACATTTTTTTCCGGCGTTCGTATTTTTGCTGTGTAGACGATCTTTTTTAGAAATTTTTCTGCAGAAATATTTTTGCTTGACAATTACCAGATAAAATGCGTAACTGACGTGACTTCAAATTCTTCAGCAAATGCGTGACAAATACGCAAAATGCGGGACAGTTGACAGGCCTGCTATATGCTTCTTGAAATGTTCCTTCAATGACAAAAATAAAAAGATCAAAAAATATTAGAGTACATATACAATGGAATGCTTTTTACATTGTAGAACTTTGGCTATGATTATTTTGGTTTTAATCAGCTTTATACCTTTAATTCTAGACATAATAGACACTGTACTTGAGGAAGATGACATCAACAATGATGGTTATATGACATATCCAGAGTATGTCATTGCAAGACGTAGAGATGAGGCACGTGAGGCGAAACAGGAGAAGGAAGAGAAAGAGAAAGAGGCCAATGAAAAGAAGGAAAATAAAGGAGCTGATTTATAGCATTAAGATTTGGCATTTGAAATTACATCAAATGTCTGTGTAATCATCATTCTATGCTGCATATTTAAAGAGGGACATGCTGACTATTGAAAAAATCTCTCAAACAAATTAACATGTTCTTCATAACTTTCGAAATAGCATTACCGTATTCTCTGTAATTACCGCCCACTCTCTAATAAGCGCCCACCCCGCTTCACAAAGTTCAAGAAACATCGAGGAATCAACAAGAATTGAAGAATATATCAGGAAAAAAATATTTCTCAAAATCCAGGAGCGGGCGATAATAGAGTACTTACCCTAAAACTGCTGTAAACATGACGCGTTTTGTAATTCTATGCATCCTCTCGATACATATCTATCGATGGGTGCTTCCCACACCATACCATGCTAATATTGTCTCCAAATAGTCCATAATGAATGAAGGAATTTTTCTTTATCGGCATTTAGAAATTTCAAAAGCTACTGCGCAGATGTTCTGCGCATGTCAAGGTCGTGAACTTTCTGGTTTCTTTTTAATGTTTCTTGACTTTTACACGACTTTTGCACGAATAATGATGATCTCTCATCAAATTAGAAATAATGTATAACTTTAGATCGATATCCAGCAGTCTCTAGTGGAAATATTGAAGGTAATCGGCGATAATGACAAAGTGGGCGTGCCGGAAATAAATTAGACATAGACGGGTCTTCAACCACTGACAATATTGTCTAAGCGATCTTTACCGTATTCTCTCCAATAACAGCACTTGTCATATTATTATAAAAATATGTTGAAGAAAATGCATTCTTGTCAAGAAAAATTGCCATACATGAAATTCCTCGGGATTTCTGATTTCTTTCATACATGGGCGCTTATTAGAATGGTCTAAATAATGTATTTTCAATTTTCTAAACGCCCTGGGCGCTAATTACAGAGAATACGGTATATGTTTTGTCATATACGGTACTCATTTTTAATAATCAGTGTATGCCTCTTTAATATTCCAAGTTGTTTGTATAAAATCTGGCATTTTATTGTTTGTTAAATTATTTGATTGATAAAGCCATGTGATCTCTGACACATGATTAAATCTGAACTACTGTAAGAAACTGGTCAGTAATTAGTAATTACTTTCATCTATCTTTCTCTTCAGTTGTATACTTACAATCTAGAGTTGTATACCTGGACATAAAAGATGAATTGATGTGAAATAAATAAGTATACTTGTAGTATTACTGTATATTATATTGTATTTCATACCTACTGAGGTTCTAGGTACATAACGAGCGGGAATATATACTGTATCTAGCCAAGGCCCGGGGTGGGATGGATACACGCTGTATCCATCCCGGTCCCGCTCCTGAATTTTTTTTTCATATTTTTTTTTCACATTATTTTGGAAATTTTTTTTTTCTCATTTAAAATTTTTTTTCACATTTTTGTCAAAATTTTTTTTCAAATTTTATTTTTCAAAATATGAGTTATATTAGTTTGAAAATCTCAGAAACTTAAAAAACCACTTTATAACACCAAGAAAATGCGTATCTTAAGTATATATATTTTTGGGAATTTTGGAACTTTATAAGGTATATGACGTAACTTACCTAGAACATCAGTAGGTATGAAATACATCTGTTATGTACGGTCGGTTTTGGATACAAGGTTTATCCCTCGGGAAATATGTGTATATCCCTCGGTCCCTGCGGTCCCTCGGGATATACACATATTTCCCTTGGGATAAAACCTGTATCCAAAACCTCCCAGTACATAACCCTTATGTATATATACTAGAGGTGTCAAGTTTTAACCGGTTAACCGGTTAACCGCCGATAATGCCTTGACCGGTCTGTGTTTTTATGGGTGGTTAGTTGACCGTGTATAATTCTGTTATTTCCCGCGCTAATATTGCATGCTCATCTGTTTGGTTTTAAAGTGTCAGTTTCACGTAAGCTAATCATACATGTCATAAGTCCAATAACTCCTTACAAACATCCAATCAGCAACTTTAATCCCTGACACATTGCTTTCCCGAGCTTACTTTGCATGTTAATCTGTTTGTTTTTCAAGTGTCAGTTTCATGTGAGCTACTCATACATGTGATAGTTCCGATCACTCCTTACAAACATCCAATCAGCACCTTTAATCCCTGCCACATTGCTTTCCCGCGCTTACTTTGCATGTTAATCTGTTTGTTTTTCAAGTGTCAGTCATGTGTAATCAACTCATATTGCAAAACTATTTCATAAATAAATTATATGCATTTTTTAATTCTTCAGTTTTGTTATTATTGTTGTCTATCAACGTCGCCAAAATTAAAATCAAAATAAACACTAATCAGCTGCAATTCTCGTTGTTATGGTGCGTTCGTGGAGATTCCAAGGGTAAACCAGTGTGGTAATTTAGAGGTACCGGTAGTCAGGTAGTGTATGAATAGAACAGAGTAAAGCTTGACGAACGTAAAAAACAAACGCTGATATATCATTTTTCCAATTTTTTCAACTTTCAAGATCGAAGATGAAGATTTCATTTGAAATTATCAGTTCAAATTTCCCGCCGGTTAACCGACTTTAACCGGTAAAAACATCCGGTTAACCGGTTAATACTCAAGCAGTTAATTGACACCACTAATATATACTATATATTACTTGTAGTATACTGTATTACTGTATGATTATCAATTATAAGTTTTGTAAAAAATGTTTAATAAAGTGCAATCTTAGTATAGATATATATGTTTTGTTGATTGTTAGAGCAAGCCACAATTCCATATTTTAGTGTCAAAGATGCATAAATCATACAATCATGATTTTTAAACCGCAATACAATGCTTAAGGATATAAATACGGGTCTGAAATCAATTTTCACAAAACATAAATTCAAAGATAGCATCATATTGAAATTGAAAACTGCAGAGAATGGAAATTAGCGTAAAAATAACTTCTAAAATGTTTCATAGATGTCTCTTGTTAAACTCGCACCTGTTATATTCCTCCGCGAAAGAGTTTTAAATAAAATGCCATTCTTTCACTTATCATTTTTATTTGGTACGTTGAAATTAATACGAGTATTGGAGAACTGTCTATAGAGAAGAGTTTTTGCAAAATTAGGGAATGAAAAGGGATTTTAACTGAAAACATTTTGTAATAGTTAGGATTACATCTTTTAGCGTATGGATTTTAAAAAGCGGTAAATTTGATTGGCCGATAATAACAAAAGGTAAAGTGTGACACACGAAAGTTCGTGTCGGACAAAAGTTCAGGATAATCGTCGATTTCTGACTGATTTTCGCAATATTTGACGTGGATAACTATGTACAATGTAGCTGAATTGCTGAAGAAGTTGGATACGTAAAAATATTACCACAACATAAGAAGGAACGTCTGTGAAATAAGATTTTTTGACGAGTGCAACCTGTTCAAAAGTTCAATTCAAGTGGAATTTTGAAATTATTTTCAAAAATGGTGTTTGTTTAGGAAACAAGTTCCTATACCTCTTAATGCTAATGGATTTACTCCCCACTCAACTTCAACAAAGGATATAACTACTTTCCAAGAATCACTTTAGGATTGTACATCAAAATTGAGAATGGATATATGATCTACGCGTGAAAAAGACTTGAAAGTAAAGAATACAACTTTCACAATGTCTGGAGTCTCCAATTTTATGAATTCTCCCCTTGTCACCTGGGTATGGATAATTTTGATCATTATTAAATAATTTTGTTTTCATATTATTTACATGTTTTGGTATAAATGCATAAGAGTACATTGCATATCTTGGTAGACTAGGGTTACTCGAGTCTCTAGCTTACAGCTAGACGTAACTTCATTGATTTCGTATGTACTGTGCTACACGCACCTAGAATTCATTTTTAATAAATTTTATAAATATTTCTAAGAATATTAATCGTATTTAGGATGAAGCGTTGCTTGTCTGGATTTAGATATTTCAAAATTTCATTTCGGAGTTTGACACATGGTGGAATTTTCTTGCTGTAGCTAAAAATGGCTTCCGGTTCTGGACGTGAATTCAATATTTGAAATTATTCTCGCTTAAAGAAATCAAATATAACAATAGATTCAGACGGGGATGTGAGCTGATGTTCTTCAAATCTATACATAAAGGTATATTTCATATTATTATGCCATATTTACTGTGCGTGTGACACAATGATTTACAATATTTATAATACTAAGGCAGCTCAATCTTCCTCCTCAAAGCCGGAATATAGAGAAGGCTTTGGACCGAAGTAAGACTAGGGGTCTAACATCTCATCTCTATGTGAATGGGAACAGTATTTCTTGTCAGACGGATAACCGAAACCATGGAGCTCTGATCACCATTGGCTTCAAACAAGGTTCTTCAAAATTGTACGGTTTGCTTTTGTGATGGAACGTTACAGTTTGTAAATAAAGGCTTGCCCTTAATAATAATCTAGAGATCATGAAAATGTCAGCTGCTCACGGACGTTAACATTAACAACCGATTGATGAGAGAGATATCAATGTTCAAGTATGATCAGATTCAGCTGAAACAATTATTACTTGAACAATTAGTATCTCAGTCATTTTGTGAAATTCTAAGACATTGCCATTGCCAATAACATGATTATCAAACAGGCCAATAAAGCAGAATATAATAGTGCGATCAGAACCAAATATTCAAACCCAAAAATCAAACCGAGGGATTCAAAAACTGAACCGAAACAAATCAAAGATTTTAAAACTGTCTGGCCCATAGTCTACTCTTTTAATTCTCAACTAAGTTACTCGGGACAGATTTTTGAAATAGGTGGGATGTTGGACTGCTGATGGTGTTCAATCTGTCAGATATATGATCAAAATTATTGACCAAGGACTAGGTATTGGCCTAGACCAAATCCACTGCAGTGGATTGGATAAACTTTCCTTACTTAGTGTACAGGTTTTCTAAAATTAAAGAATTTTCTGAATTCAGGTGGCCACATTCAACCCAGGGGCAGAGGAGCTGACCTTCCAAGACTTGTGTGATGGCCTCTACCTTTTGACAGTGTTCAAACAAATGTAGGTATCCCATAAATCTTATATTGCAAACCTACTTTAACCTATGATATTAACATATAAGCAATTGAAGATTATATGTGTAAGAAGATTACTTTGTTTTAGGCTATTGAAGTTTAAAATACAGCAATTTAACTAGTGTACAGAACACATGGTATAGGTTTGAATCAAAACCAGCTGATTCACATGGTGTACTCATGTACTCCACTAGACTGCCAAACTGGTCTGTTTGTATAATCACAGTCTGCAGTGGGGTCCAGATTATCATGTCACATTGTTGTTTATTTAAATGTCTGACATAGTACTGGGTTACAGATATGTAACAGTTTATGTTAGCTGGATAATTCATTATCTCATACAAAACATGTAATTAATTGGGGCTTTAAGTGTCTAATTAGACTGATTACACTTCTTGTCACAGTTTTATGGTGGCTTCACCAAGGTGTTTAATTATTATGGGACAGTTGTGTGATTGTTCATTATAAGCTGTAAGGTGTAGTTGACATGCAAAATTTTGTCTTGAAATTGCATAATCTGATATTCAGAATACAAAGATTTCATTAAGAATAGCGACTATTTCCATCATGCTTTCTTTAATAATAGTGCTCTTTTATCATTTATTGTGACGAAAATAGACTGATGAAATCATCAAATGAATGAAATATGTGAATAACTAACTGTCGCTGCTGATAATAAATAGGTACTAGTATTCATAGAAATAAGATTGTACCATACAGAATGTCTATCAGCTAGAAATAAACAATATCAGTTTTCTTCCTTTTACAGTGCACCTATTCATATCTGTCATACTTGGACTTTGGTATAACCACATTCCATATTGTCTCTGTTATTTGACCATCATTGGCTCAAATCCCATGTTTAGTCTGATAAACCAATTCCTATCTCAGATCTTCAGTATTCTGTCCACAAATATCTCAAATGATAACAAGATAATATTGATATGGTTCAGGTGAATATAATCTATATGTCAGGAAACTGAAGAATTCCTCAAATCTGACTTATAGTTATCATGTTGTCAACTTGTCATTGGTCTTTCACAGTCCCCAGCAATGAAACAACTGGGGTTTCTGCCTAGTTTATAGAGTGATGTACCCATTGCCCAGCTGACTTGAATTTTAAAATTTATGCAACATAAAATGTAAAGCATTTTGCATCTACAGTAGAAAACTCCATGAACATTAAAATTAATAGTTTCCTGATCAAAATTGGTTTTCGTGTTGCAGTAGCAATTTTCCTCAACCCAAAGGTGTGGCAAATAAGAATTATTGATTGGGCATAGGTTGACTCACGCGTGGTATCACAGAGTATTTGCATTATATTGATTCTAACCACACCTTGTCCATTTCCAATTTCTTCATATTAAAACATTAATGACATTCTGTATCATCTATAATTTATATGAAACAAATCACTCAGAATTAATTATTTAAATTGCTAAATGGGAAGATTATCAATTATAAATACTCATATTTTATACAAATTTGAGATAGCAAAGATGTTCTTTCTAATTTTTATGGTTTTATTTTTTAAATGTGATCATGACATGACCCATGTGCAACTATGAATGCTATATCGCCTCAAGTTAGCCTAAAATTATAATTTACAAAGGTTTGAGGCTTGTATAGGAGTACAATGCATCAAATATGAGCAATTATAACTTATATTTTTAGGATTTAGGATGTAAACATATATAGTATTGATCATATTTCATCCTAACTTGACAGCTAAATTCAATTCAATTTCAATATGATTAAGTCATTCATATGTAATAGTACTGTTCCCTTGCTTGGTGTTCTTTTCAAGTACATGTACATCAATGTTGGATATGACTATGTAAACAGCATTGTATTATACAATACAATATCAATTAAGAATTGATCAAAGTCTTGCCGAAAGCTGTTCTCTGATTCATTCACGTAATGCAACAGATGTTTAGGAGCATCATCAACCCAGACTCAATATGTCTCAATCATCTCACTATTGTAAAGTTGATCAACCCTTTCTATAGTGCAAGGGATGATATCATCGCTGTTTAAAAGTAAAGGTGTGGTTACAAGATGAAGACCATTTCCATTTACATATGGAAATCATACTGGCATAATATTATGGAATTGATAATTTTAGGAAAAAGTGGGACTGATTCTGCATTTATGTATAGTCAGAATATTGGTACCAGCCACCTTCAGATGAAAGGGCTGATTATTCAAAAAACATCAAAGGTTGACTGTAACATTATAGGGGAGTCATTTAAAGCATGAGATCATAAGTTAATTGATATTGGTGATAAATTAATTGATCTTTATCAAATGAATTATATATTTTTATATTATTGTACAGCTGTCTCTATATTATAATGTTTAGCTGAGATTGAAACAGTAAAAAATTCAGTCTAGACAATTCAAAGGCCTACAGTATTATTAACTTTAAATTGCAACTAGGAGTATGGCTTCAAAAGTTCAAAAGTTGAAGCCAAAATGTGAACTTCATAATCAAAATGTCAATACATATCAAGATATTATCTGTCTTTTAGAACTTGAAAAACTTTTTGAATGGATCTGATGTCCCTTGAGCTTTATTGTGTTGAGTTAAATGTTTGTCCGTTGACACTTCTAATGTAGATAGAGTGACATTAGTTTACTATAGCACTGGGGTGTAATCTATAACTGTCAAGAATAAAGTACATGAGTACACATCCACATATTGATGAGTGCTAATAATCAGTAGAATTACTGATTTTCTCATGTATACTCATTTCATGTACATTGTATTGGGTTTTTCAGTTGATTGCCTATTTCTTTAAGAATATGAAATGTGGAATATGAGAAAGGTGAAGCTCAAGATGCACGTCAATTACAAGTCTTTGTAATTAAACTCATTTCCTTACCAAGTACTATATAGGTAGGAAGATGGGATACTGACACTCGATGCAAGACTTTTTGGTCTGCCCTTACCCGCTGACAGCACCCAGAATATATTGTTGACTGTCGACTATCACAAGTATGACACCAAAAAGTAGCTTTTTGGGGGAGGGTTAATGGGGGTTACAGAAGTAAGGCTTAATGCAAGACTATAGAATTGTGACAAAAATGTATTCAGAGAAATATCTGGTTTTTTATTTTTATTTATGGCTATAGAATAATAGTACAATAACGTCATTTCGAAGGGCAATATAGTGAAATATTGGACCGAGGGTCAAAGGCCCAAGGTCTAATATTTCAATATAATGGCGCACTGAACAATATCTAATTTCCCGGGGCAAATTGCCGGTCGTTAAATGCATTCTCGACCGGTCTGGAATGCTATATTGACCGCCACTATGACATCACATATCGCTCAGGTCGATATAGTAAAATGAATGCCTTCTCAACTAGCACTAAAACCCCTAGAACTGGCCCGGCAAGGTGGTAATAATATGTAGTTCTGTTGTCAATCTACTTTCATGAGATCCCTGTTCTGTTCTGTTAACAAGGACAACCACAGGTCAACAAGTACACATTTTCAATATCTAGAGTTTCCACATTTAGAATAAGGATACATATATTATTTGATTCGCAATCTGAAGTGGACATAATACCATAATATGGTTAAATCTGTATAATACTTCAACTTCTGTGAAAACAAGACGGATATATCATTGTTTCAAAATAAGATTATTATACTTGTATGTCAAATCTTGTTGGATAAATAAAGCTCAGGTTAAGTTAGAATCGATCAACATGACTAAAATGCAACCTACTGACTTCATCCTAAGATAAAATCTAAAGATAACAAAGTTCCATACATTTGTCAAAATTTGTTTTGTTTTAGAGTGGAGAAAATCTGTTTTAACCATAAAAGCAACTGAGTGATCATTCGTAATGGCCAGTGCCCTATATTATAAACAGGCACAAACTTATACATTCTTTATATTGTCTTCAATATGTACTATTGACTCTGCATATTTGGGCTGAACATATTTGAGTACTGTGAAATACAATGCTCATGAAAACAAATTGTGTTTTGCTTGTATTAAAATACATTGCCACAGAGATAATGTTTGTGAGTTGTATTCTCTCCTTTGTGCTTAGTTGTGATTCTTTTGCAGATTGTTTTCAATTAGAATATGATCACAAAAGTGTATTTTTTTTATATTAGGCCGATCTAAGAAATTTCCCTTGTGGACCTTCATCCAAATAGGGTGGGGGGGGGGTAAAGATTTAATGCAATCCTATGTTAATTATTTTGCATTTGAAATGTAAAGTCACAACCTGTCCAATTCCTGAATAAACAAAATATTCTATACTACTATATATACCTTTAATTACAAATGGAGAAATTCAGATGTTTGCATAGAATTTGAGTAAATAATATTGAACTTACTCGTTGAAACCTTACAATGATTTAAAAATTTGACTTCATTGAAACCACTTTTATTTTGTTGGCTTTCAACATTATTTAGCACAAAAGTAATGGCTTGTCAACAAAGGAATAAGAGATTTTGTATTATGATCTGGGATCTAGTGGTAGAACCCCTGGTGACACTCAAGGAGGCTACAGTATAGCTTTGAGACAACATGAAATATTATGTGAAACAATGTAAATTGTATAAAATTACCCAGAGACTACTATACTCTATAACATGTCACACATCCATAATTTTTGTATCCCTTCACTTTAATATGAGATATAAGCCTGTGGTCATTGTTAGCTCACATGGTGAGCTTTTGCAATCACTCACTTGTCCGTCTGTCTGTCCGTCCGTCCGTCTGTACGTCCGTGAAGAAAGATAACTAACATCGCAATCAAATCAAGACAAAGAAAGAAGAAAATAAATGAAGAAACCAATGCAGCAAAAACAAATGACGTCCGTCCGTCTGTCCGTCAACAATAGTGGCACATTTTAAAACCTCTGTCGATAGGATTCCTGTTTTAAGTTATTTCTGTTCAACATCAATACAGAAAACCCCCCTATGACTCCTGGTTCAAAAGCTCGCCTATTTTCAAAATGGCCGTCACTTTTGTCTCGCGAAATTCACTTTTAGCCCATTTCTAGCTAACCTCTGTCGATAGGATTCCTGTTTTAAGTTATTTCTGTTCAACATCAATACAGAAAACCTCCCTATGACTCCTGGTTCAAAAGCTCGCCTATTTTCAAAATGGCCGTCACTTTTGTCTCGCGAAATTCACTTTTGGCCCATTTCCTAGCTTTACAAATAATTTCAGGTGTCCTACATTATAAAAATCCATGTCAATGTAAAGATTAGATATATGAAATAATTTTGTTACAAAAAATCAGCGAAAAATTATATCCATTTATTTATTTTCAGCCATTTTAGTTAACATTGATTTGTCCATCTGTCTCGCAAAATTCACTTTTGGACCATTTACCTTAAACCCTCTGTCGATAGGATTCCCATTTTAAGTTATTTTTGTTCAACATCAATACAAAAAACTCTCCTATGACTCTTGGTTCAAAAGCTCGGCTATTTTCAAAATGGCCGTCACTTTTGTCTCGCGAAATTCACTTTTGACCCATTTCCTAGCTTTACAAATAATTTCAGGTGTCCTACATTGTAAAAATCCATGTCAATGTAAAGGGTAGATATATGAAATAATTTTGTTACAAAAAATCAGCGAAAAATTGTATCCATTTTTTTTATTTTCAGCCATTTTAGTTAACATTGATTTGTCTATCTGACTCTTGAAATCCACTTTCTGTGGCACGTTTTAAAACCTCTGTCCATAGGATTCCTGTTTTAAGTTATTTCTGTTCAACATCAATTCAGAAAACTCCCCTATGACTCCTGGTTCAAAAGCTCACCTATTTTCAATATGGCCGCCATTTTTGTCTCGCGAAATTCACTTTTGACCCATTTCCTAGCTTTACAAATAATTTCAAGTGTCCTACATTGTAAAAATCCATGTCAATGTAAAGAGTAGATGTATGAAATAATTTTGTTACGAAAAATCAGCGAAAAATGATATCCATTTATTTATTTTCAGCCGTTTTAGTTAACATTTATTTGTCCATCTGTCTCGCAAAATCCACTTTTGGACCATTTACCTTAAACCCTCTGTCGATAGGATTCCCATTTTAAGTTAATTTTGTTCAACATCAATACAAAAAACTCTCTTATGACTCTTGGTTCAAAAGCTCGCCTATTTTCAAAATGGTTGCCATTCTTTTTTCGCGAAATTCACTTTTTGCCCATTTCCTAGCTTTACATTTTAGCTTTAATTTCAGCTGTCCTGCATTGTAAAAAGCCATGTCACTGTTAAAGGTAGTTGTATGAAATAATTTTGTTACAAAAAATCAGCAAAATATTATATCCGTTTCTTTTATTTTCAGCCATTTTAGTTAACATTGATTTGTCCATCTGTCTCGCGAAATCTTCTTTTGGACCATTTGCTCAAAACCTCTGTCGATAGGATTCCAGTTTCAAGTTATTTTTGTTCAACATCAATACAAAAAACTCCCTTATGACTCCTGGTTCAAAAGCTTGCCTGATTTCAAAATGGTCCCATTTTTGTCTCGCGAAATTCAATTTTGGCCCATTTCCTAGCTTTACAAATAATTTCAGGTGTCTTGCATTGCAAAAAGCCATGTCACTGTAAAGAGTAGTTGTATGAAATAATTTTGTTACAAATTATTGGCAAAAAATTATATCCGGTTTTTTTTCAGCCATTTTAATTGACTGAGAGACAGATGGCTTGAAATAATTTTGTAACAAAAAATCAGCAAAACATTATATCTGTTTTTTTCTGTCACCATGTGAGCCCAGTACCCATGGTACTAATTTTTTTTTGTGAATTGTAGTTGCCTGCTCTGAATCCCCAACATCTCCTGGTTTCATGTAGAGATGAGATAGAGGGTCACAAAACTTGAAGGACTTGAGCACAGTTTCTGAAGCCATCGAATCCCCCAATCCTTTACTTGATATTTTTAAATCCTGATTCCTGATGTTTTACAGTGATCCCCGTGCTGCCACCGACAACATTGTGCTGAATGTGGAAGATGTGAAGGATCGGCTCAACAACTTTGACATCCTCATGAAGAACATCAAGGCTTACTATCAGGTCAGTGCAGAGATTTGAAACATTTCCTTTTCTGTATCATGTTATGAGTGCTCTCCATGATTTTTTTATATCTTTTATTGACAAAAGTGTCAACTAGAGTGACACACTGTGCTTCAGTCTGAAAGCCTATTGAGTACCCTGTTCTATGTACACTTTTCATCAATTACAGATTTAGACTATTTATAAAAAAAAACACACATATCAAGAAATTGGAGTATCATATAATTTAAAACTTTAAAAATGTACAAGTTGAAATCGGCATGATATTGATATTGGGATAGTTCCATAGGGAATGAACCATTATTTTCTACAATTACAGGACAATTATCTTTTTTCTGAATCTATTTTTAAGCTTTCATCTATTTGTATCTTCTTTAAAGGTTTCAGGTACCTACTTTCCACTATCTTAATAGGACCTATGATGCTTTTTTCCAAAGATAATCATTCTGAATCTCAAGAATCACTTTGACTCAAAACCTGTTAGCATTTCTTGGCATAAGAATACATGATTTTAGTTATCATAATGATAGTGTAACACAGTAAAGTGATACTATTTTGACTATTGTGTTTGTTTTATGACGGATGCTTATAGCCTTTGGGTATCAAAATAACATTGAGTGAATGCCAAACTAAGAGAAGTTACGAAAGGTTATGGGAAATATGTGGGTTCTGTTAACTGGGTTGTAGAATGATGTTAATATATGGCATTTAGGTATTATTAGAATGCTTTTAAATATATGAACAATTTGTCTTATTCTAGGTATCTTGTCTTATCTAGTCTTAACTCATTTACCCCTACCCCACCCCCATTCTGTTACACATGTGCCAGAAGGGGAATGGATGGTGGGGTAAGTTACCGGTGCTTTTTGTGTTCATTTTGTACTAATGCCTCTTTAGTAGTCTCTGTTGGCAGATACATATACATTGAAATAGTGTCACTGTCATCATATTGTTGGATCATCATAGATGTAGAATAGGGAAACCTTTTGTACATGTATTGGCATTGTTATTTAGTTCCTAAAAGGTTGTTTCTGCTGCTAGATGTCGACAATATACAAGTTATAAGAGAAAATATACAAGTTATAATAGAATGAGTAGAGTGATATGGTATTATCCAAAATTCTACAAACCAAGGAACAATTTTGTTTGCAAATACTATATATTGATTTACATTCTAGATTTCAATTTTCTACTCAATGGCTAATTCCTCTGATACACAAAAGTTGATTGTTCAATCTCCTCACTAATTTCATTTCTTGGCAATATTCTAAGACAAATTAAACACAAAATTGTGAATTATAACACTGTGAATTTATCAATAGATACAATCTCGATCTCTTAGGTTATTAGAAATATGTACTATGTAGGATATGAAGCATATTAAAATATAGAATGATGTGATGAGTATCAGAGTGAGGAAATAAGGGTCTGATGCAAGACTTCATATAGAAAGGAATATAACACTGATAGAACAGTATAAAAAAAACTAGTCTAGCTTCAAGCCCTTGTGAGCCACTTGTGTTGTGTTGGTGAAGTAGATGAGGGTGAACCAGTCTTGAAGCAAGACTAGAAAAATACTTGAATATTAACCACTGGTTTCAGTTTGTGTTAGTTTCTCATCAATCGTTTGATCACCCTGTTATTAGCTCAGGATATTCAGAAAAAGAATCCTGCTCAAAGCTATTGTTACAGATGCTGTAATCACACTCTTGTTGTGTTTAAATCCTACCACTATCATCCCACTGTCATTTATCAATCGATACTGAAAATTGAAACCAGTAATATTTGATAGGAATAGCATGATTGGTAGATATTATACAGGTAAAATTATTCTGTATTACTGTGTATTTCATTTGTCTGCTTCACTCATGTCAGAATGACGTCAATAGAGTATATCAGTCTTTAGAACTTCCCTTAAGATGACATTTAAATCAGTAAAGATATATTTATTAAAAATATGAAGTCAAAGGTACATGGTCTTCCTGAAAGAAAATATTTGGTGTCAGAATTTGAACTTTACTCAGTTATAGAGAATATGGATCCCAGTTTGGAAAAAATATAGATTTGATTTAGTCAAAATACAACACAGAGACTATATATACTGTTCTGCTCTTCTCTTGTCACACAAATGTTGGTAGAGGTTAATGCTATTTGAACTTTTATCTTGGGTTTTTAACCTTTGATCGTTATTGATAAGTTTTGAATGTAATGCCAAATGAATATAAAGACGCATGCAATGTAATAATTCTCATGGACTCCATAAATCATGATTCATAAACCCAATAAATCATAATTTACTATCAAATCAGAGTAATTTTGCATCATCTTTAATAAAGAGCTCCTTCAGATTTTGTCTATTAAAATGTACCTGAAGTATATACTTATGTAGTTTATTAAAATAATTGAACTTAAATAACTGTAAAAGTTGTTGATCTCTTGATTTTTCATAATAACAGGTGTGAAATGCTCTCTTAGTAGCTCTTGGTGAATATGACATAGGACTCTTGAAAGTAAAGTGGCTTAACTATAATATTGATGTATTACTGCTATCTCCAGATCTCTAAAAACTGAAATAGAAATATCATCTACCATACATTCAGAAAATATGATAATACATGAGATACATATGTAATAACAAGCTATAGAGCACTTAGATGTTCCCTCTGTTGAGATCTTACATATACATCAAGCAATGGTTGCATTAGTGACATAACTCCTTTGCAACTTCATTAACTGAACAATCCAGAGCTTATCAGTGAGATTAAAGAGACATAATGCTACAAATAATCTGTTTTATATCAACTTATAAGAGACTATTCCCCAGATTCAAATGCCACTAGAGGTGACAAATGTGATATTAATAGGAATGCAATGTTTAGAGGTAGTGGTTGGTTATGCTGACCTATTACATGCTACTCAATCATTGTCAGCCTATATACACATATTGAACAGGCATGCCAAGCAACATGATATATTCTAGTGAGTGTACCAGGATATATATCTACTCATGTGACATGTCCTTTCTTTGAATTGAACAAAAAATGTTGAAGACTTCGTATTTGGTGCTAACTTGACACTGTTGAAGAGAGATGTAGATAGATAGGTAGCTTCTTTTAGAGAAAAACGTCACCTGAATATTAGATCAACAAAAAATACATTTCTTTATTTCACTAGCCTGTTATCAGAATTAAAGAATCTTAGCTCATAAGAATGGAACAAAATACAGGGTGACCGGAAAAAAAGGAGACCATTGAAGTAATCAATTTCTCCTAAACTAGACAAGTGCCATCAATGAAATTTTGCATACACTGGAACAGTTATATGGAAATTTGTTACTGAAGGTTTCAATACAAGCATTCAACTGGTTCAGGAGCTATGATCATTTACATAACATGCTCCAAATAGGCACAATTGAGACCAACGCAGAGTTGGATTCATATGGCAAACTACCCTTACATGTTCTGCCCTCTATGGCATTATTATGGCATTACATATAGCAGTGATTGCCTTCTTTAGGTCAACAATAGTCTGAGGATTGTTTTGGTATAGATTGTCTTTCAAATATCCATACAAAAAGAAATCAGCAGGATTCAAGTCTAGGCTGTAATGGCAATGAAGGGTTATCTGACATGTGGTTCATCATCCTGTTGCCAAAGTGCTGATTTACCCAATCTTAAGAGTCACTTTAGGTATTGGGCATAGTGCCATGTTACTAAAACCACTATATGGCACAATTAAATCCCATATGGAAACCAAGGGCTGCCCAAAACCTCCTTAGGATGATACTGTAACTGAGTGGGACCACTGAGTCAGAAGCCATAGGTCAGATAAGCTTCGTCTCCATACACCTCAAATTTGAATCCACCTGATTTCTTTTTGTGGGGCAATTTGAAAGACAATGTGTACCAAAACAATCCTGAGACAATTGCTGACCTAAAGGTGGCAATAAATGCTAAATGCAATGCCATAACAAGGTCGGAATATGTAAGGGTATTTGCCAAATGTATCCAGCTCTGCGTTGGTCTCAATTGCGCCTATTTGGAGCATGTTATGTAAATGATCATAGCTCCTGAACCAGTTGACTGCTTGTATTGACACTTTCATAGAACTGTCCTGATGTATGCAAAATTTCATTGATGTCACTAGTCTATTTTAGGAGATATTGCCTATTTCAATGGTCTCCTTTTTTTCCGGTCACCCTGTATGTGGCTTGCTGTAAGAAATTATGTGGCCAGTTGGCATTGTTTTGGTGTAATCAGATTAGACTCTGTAAGAGGTTCATATTGAGCTAGTGGGGTAATTAGAGTATTATATGAACTAGCGATAACCCTCTTGGTCCATTCATTCATCTTTTCAGAGCATCTCGCATTCATGTTAGTGAATACTGAATAGACCAGCTGATTTTTACTTTGGATTTTACTCCTTTCCAAATTGAAGTTTGTTATATGAGTCTCTTTCTAATTAAAAATTGATTGTAGACTGATGGGAAAAGTTAATTGTAATGAAGAATGAAGCAGGTAATTCAATCCCACAATACACTGATGCAAGTAAGGTGGCTGCTCCATGAAGCTCCATGTGAAGGTTATGCTGATGGGTAACTCCTTACACACACACTATTGTATGGTTCAAATTTTAAAACGTAGCGTTAAAATATAACAATGCAGCCTTATCTATAATATGTGGTGACTAATCATTTCAATTTTTTATCATTTGTGGAAAAGGGAACATTGAATATTAAATCCAGTGACTTGAAATGGAGATGACAATTTATGATTCTGTTCAACATTGTCTTAAATAGTATCTAATCTATCTATATCTACATATGTATGTGTACACATCCTTGGCCCAAGAGTAATTCATTGCATTACAATGAAAGCAGTGAAGGACCGATCTTGAAGGATGATGTGTACATGATATATGCACATTCATAATCTTGCACCATTGATATTTCAAAATTATGTACACATGCTATACATGTAGATGGCTTAAAATTGATAACA